AAGGACTATTGGAACATATCCGTCGTCATCTGTGAAACAGATATTCCATAACGGTCAACCAGAAACTCGTTTCATATGTCTTTATAGAGGGCAGTTGGTACTTTCAGGTTTGTTTGACCTGCCGTGTTCTGTGTCTATTTTCCATTATTTTTATTATCTCTCAAGGATCATAATTATGTTCTGAACGGTAAAAGTGAAATAGTCAATCTCAAACTTGACCTCCATTTTGTTATCGGTGAAAAATATATCAAAATTGGAAAAGCATTGGCCGAACAGTTCATAAGTTACTGCACGGACACAACACAAAGTGCCATTTTCCAATCTATCGAGGACCATAACTCCTGAACGGCAGAAGTGAATATCGTCCATATCGAAGCTGTTGACCTCCATTCTGTCATCAGTATCAACATATCGAAATATGAAAAGCAAGGTTTGAAGGTTCATAAGATATTTCTCAGCAGCGACAGAAAGTGCCAATTTCCAATCTATCAATGATCATACTCCTGAACGGCAAAAGTGAAAATAGTCAATATTAAACTGGACCTCTATTTTGTCATCAGTAACAAAAAATCAAAATTTAAAATGCATTGGTTGAAGGGTTCATAAGTTCTTGCACGGAAACGAAAGAAAGTGTCATTGTTAAATCTATCAAGAACCATCATTCCTGAACGGCAAAAGAGAAAATTGTTCAGATCGAACTTCACCTCTATTTTGTCATCAGTAACAACATATCAAAATTGGAAAAGCATTGACTGAACAGTTCATATGTTATTGCACAGAAACAGCACACAGTGTTATTTTTCAGTCTATCGAGGACAATAACTTCTGAACGGCAAAAGTGAAAATCGTCAAGAGCGAAGTTGTCCTCAGCCTTTTTTCAGCTGTATGAACATTTTAAAATTGGAAATGCATTGGTTGAACGGTTCAAAGACATTGCACAGTAACGACAGAAAGTGCCAATTTCCAGTCTATCAAGGACCATAGTCCTGAACGGAAAGAGTAAAAATGGTCAATATCTAACCTTGACCTCGATTATGTCATCAGTAACAACATATTAGAATTTAAAATGCATTGGTTGAAGGGTTCACAAGTTATTGCGCGGAAACGAAAGAAAGTGTCATTGTCAAATCTATCAAGGACCATAACTCCTGAACGGCAAAAGTGAAAATTATCAATATCGAACTTGAACTTTATTTTGTCATCAGTAACAACGTATCAAAATTTGAAAAGCATTGGTTGAACGATTCATAAGTTATTGCCTTATAAAAAAATTTGGTGAAAAATCGTTTATTCAAATAAAAAAAAAGAGATCTTGCTTCATTCGCTTACTAGTATCTCGTTATAGGCATAGCGAAATCAAAATGTGCTCCTAGTTAGATTGTAAAATATAACCGTTGACTGTATATTGTAATATACTGTGTTACGGAGTCAAAAGTCCCCTTTTCATGCCTTGCAATTTCATGTGATACAAACATCTCACCCCTTTTCATTTTTTAAAATACTTACCAAACGGTAAATAGAATAGCAAGAAGCTGCGGATTTGTTCCATTTTTTTTTAAATTATACAATTCGATATGTTGTTCTGACTTGTTATACCAATCGATTTGCTGTTCTTTTTTTGCTCTTTTTATACCAACTAGTGCGTCTCAATATTATTTTAATTGTGAAAATTGTCATAGTAAAGTATGCGGAATTGTCATTTAAACTGAAAAAAGGCAAAATGAAATCACTTACCAACATACGAAGCAATAAAACAAGTAGTTTTCATGCCTACAACCGATGCTATAGCGTGGACTCTTTGTGTACAGAGACTCATAATTTACCATTGGACTGATTTTCAGACCTGTTAATCTCTTTTAAATTATTTACCCACCTTTAAAATCATGTATTTCAAATAAAAAAATATATATAGATTGAGTAAACATGCAAGGTATGTATATTTTTAATGCAAATTACTTTATTTTATAAGTGGAAGGAGGTATTGAAATTAAACATCAGATCAGATTGGATTGACCATTTAATGAAGTGTGGACTTAAAAAATACAATATATTTTGTTACAAATTTTCAGGGCTTTTTAGGAGTCTTTTGAATTGTATATTTGGTTCAATATATAATTTACACCGGAAACACTGACATTGGAGTGCAAAAATATATTTGTCATATACTAATCGTTAACAAAAATACCATTAAATAAACTGGGAAGAGACTTATGGCTATTATAAAGTACTAGTCGACAGAAGATAAAATGAAATGAGACAAACAACAGGATCAGACAACTATTCACAGAAACTAATTAAAAGATATCGCAATGCGAACAAATAACAAAACCGGATGTCATATCATGTTTTCATAAAAGATCAGTTCTGCCTGTACCTGTCTGTATCTGTATTGGTATGTGTAGAATACTGTTAAGGCTTTTATACACGGTGGATGAGTATTACTTCTAACAATTTACTTGTTATGCGGGTTTATTTTATCACGAAAAGTCGCATTTATGTTAATTAACATTGCTCTAATTATTCATGAATTTAAATTGTTTTGACAATTTAGATTATTTTTAGCAAACCAATATAATATTGATCGGAAGCCAGTGTAACTCTACCAATTCCTTTCTTATATGTTTAGGCAACCTAATTTTACCACTAAAATATAATTCTGATTATTTAACTTATGAAGGTATGATAAGTATCCATTCTTGATAGTTATATTTTCATGATATTTAAAAAAGCCACTATATTGAAGTTTGGAAATTTAGTGATTATATTCTACGAAGTATTTTGTTAGAATACCATTGTTTGGTATGGGATCTTAACTCAGGGGAAAATTGGGGGAGGAACATCAATACTAAATTGATAGGGGTGCCGTTGGGGTTCTGTTACCTCACCCTTTTCATATAATTTTGATTTTAAAAATGTATACCTTTTCATATTTTGTATGGGTAATAATGTAACCTTTCCAATATTGGTTGGGTTTTGTATTGAGTGGACGAGAAATACATCCCGTCACCTTTGCTCAGAGCTCAAATCTAATGCTTAGATTCGTTAACAGCGAGACTTTCGGCTGTAAAAAAAATACAGGGCTTTCACATAACATGTGATGAAAACTTTATTAACCTTATATATTTCAAAAAATTTTCCCAACCTATTCACATGTTTTCAAGCTGGAACTGAATGTGACCTATTCTAACAGCACGTTCTATCACCTTTTATTGAGGTAGCCCCCCCTTTTTTTTAGAGAATCTTAAACATATTCATATCAGATCAGTCAAAGTTCAAATGATATTGCATACAATTTGGTATGGGATCTTAACTCAGGGGAAAAGGGAGAGGAGCACTTCAATACTTTGTTGATACAGGGTGCCGCTGGACCAGAGAGAAAAGGTGCTTATTAAAATAGTGCTTAAGTTGAAATAATCCCTTCCAACATTATAAGGACGCCACCACGCGTTGGATGGCCGCTATGGACAACCTGTATCGCATATTACGACGGATATGTGTCGTTAACACAGTCCTTCATCTTTTCCTTGAATTTAGACTTTCCACCGGGTTTGAAATAGTAACTCTGTAAATTCTCTTCATGTTAATTTCAAGCAAAACTGTTGTGTTATCTTCAAGAATCAGCAGATTCTTCATGTGGCACTTGTCATTTTACTCATGCAAGTACAAACCCGGTGAAAAGTCTAATTCGGTAGGCCACATTCAAGGAAAAGACGACGGGACTGTGGTAACGACACATATCCGTCGTAATATGCGAGACAGGTTGTTCATAGCGGCCAACCAACGCGTGGTGGCGTCCTTAAAATGTTCGAAGGGATAATTTCAACTTAAGCACTATTTTAATAAGCACCTATTATCTCTCCCCTTTTGAACTTCTCTTTTAATTTTTTCTGTGTTTGTCTTTTGAAAGTAATTTGTGTATAGTAAATTAATACCAACACATCCTTCCTGAGTATTTGGTATGATGTAGTAAAAAGAGGTCACTATCAATATTAAAAGGAAACTTTGCACTAAAATAGTACTAATTTGAAGTTTCATGAGACGATCTGTTGCCGTCTCGCTGTATAAATGTTTACCTTCTGATTTCTATTGATGTCATATTTCAATAATACCAGCTCCCCCTTTTAACTATATTCAAGAATATATAATAGTATATGTTCTTTTTTCTTAACATTTAGCAATGATGGTGCTGAAAGTACAAAAATGAGCGAACAATTCTCTGCTTATGCTAAAGCGGTAAATGATGATTTTGTCATTAATGAAAATAAAACCCCCCTTCATATTTTTTTATCATATTTTAGCTTTTGAACTATTTATATTTTGCACTTACTCAAAATACATTGACCTCAACCCCCCAAGGGTGACTGGGGAATAGAAGTATGGTCACCATTGGTCTTCCTCCGACCGGCAGTAAAACCCTTGCTAAAGTGGGGCGTCCGTTTTGACTGTGCGGGATGTACAAATTTGCAGCCACGTCCGGTCAGAATGGGGACGTTAAATCCGATGCCTCGTGTAAAGAGAGTGCCACGCTCTTTGCACGTTAAGAACCCTTGCAACAACTCTATGAGGGATCCGTAGGTGACCTGTTGCAAGGCTAAATTTCTGTCCCTATCCAATATACCATCATTTCCCGTGGCAGTCTAAATTTCCCCGACCTTAATCCCGGAAGCCCCTATTACAGAACCTACCTATTGTATTTATTGTTAATTTGTTCTCGTCCTGAATATGCATGAAATATTTGCCACTGGACGTTAAGCAACCAACAATCAACAATCAATCATTTACCTCAATTTAAATTGTAACGGAATTTCCGATCCTTGCCGGAAAGTTACGAGTCACCTCATTAGTCTCAGATGTGATATATGTTGCATATACAAGTCTCTTTGATTACACAATAACTTATATATTAAATTGTTATCAAGGACATTTAGTTCAATACAATCCAGGTAAAATACATACATCAACTGACAAATTATTATCTATCTGTTATTGTGTGTCTCTAATAAAAGTAGTGTTATCTTTATAAACAACATTGACACAGATAGACTCTAAATGAGATCCTTTCTATACTGATTTAGGAATGTACATCGTTAATCTTAATCCCTCGAAGGTCTTCAAAACATACACTAAGTAAATATGATGTATGTGAAGTCGAACTGAAGCTCTTGGACCATTAGCTATGGAAAACAAAGCTTTCCAAGAAGGTAAATTTGTATTTGTTTATAGTTATGCTTTATAGTATTTGACAACGCCACCTGGAGCACTAGTGCGGCTGTTCCGATAGGTTAATTAATTGCATCGTTTAAAACTTTCGGTTATTTTGATTAATAAATTCAGTTTTCATGGCCATTTGTGTATTGCACTGTGTTTTTATATTTTACTTTTTAACCTTGAATACCTTTAAGAATAAAAAAAATATAGTATCTATTCCTACTTAATTGTTTAGTATTTTGCTTTCGTGGCTTGACTGTTTTTATTGTTACCGATGGAAGCAAATACATAAATTTGCAGGTACTATGCGGCAATCAGTTCTGGTTTTATGCTTGTATTCTAGTCTGCGAAAATTGTAAAATTTTATGCAAAATACGCATGTTATATATGATATACATTTCTCTCATTTCTTATTCAATTTAAATGATTACTTTAAAATAAGTGCCTTAGAAGAGTAAATAAGGGGCTTGATTTGCATTAAAATCAATGCTTACGGTAAAAACTTGAACGAGGATTTAAAATTTTCTAAAGTGTCTATTCAATTTGATAATAATAATGAAGAAATAAATACACTTTTATGAGTATGCCAGCTAGCTGAGTGGGCCATATAACGGCATTCATTTTGAAGAATGCCATCAATTTTAGCTGTTCTCAGTGGAAGTGAATCGATAACGAACGAATATTCTTTAAGCACGGTCTGTCATGCATGTAGACTCAAAACGTTTCTATTAACATCTTGAATAAATTAATAAATAAGCATAGTAGAAGTGACTAGAATCAATCAAAGTATTTCATCGGTAAATTGCAAAAAACATGTTAGGTAATATTTACTTAGATCGATCTTATATGAGAGCGAAAATTAAAGAAGGTTGATAAATCAACAAAGAGTATATATATAACCTTTACATTTTTACACACAATTTTATCAAATGGTGTTAGCTGATATCGTACTTTTCTTTATTTGGTGACTGATTTTGACGGTAGAAAGTCCTTATTCCAAATTCCAAATATATATTTATATATAAATGGTTGTAAGGATACATGTGCGCCATGAGCAACATTTAAAAAGGGAGGGGATTCATTGGTTATTTTTGTTAAAAACCTTATATTCCCAACTTTGAAGAACTACAGCTAAAACAAACAAGCGGGGATTTTCCGACCAAGGAAAGTTCGCGTTTTTTCTCTTTTGGGCCAACCACTAAAACGCATCTTTCATCAGTTTTTCTTCAATATTGGCGACTGGAAAGTGGCGTGTGCATAAAATGCCATATAATGATAAACGCCTTGGCACATACTTTTGATAATATTTCGAACAACAATGCTATATACGTAGTTTTTTTTAACTAAATTTTAGAAAATATATATTTACCAGAAAGATTTGTAAAATTAATAACCCATTTGGATATTATCATATTATACATAAACAAAAACATAAACTCAGAAAAATATAAGATCATCATAATTATAATTAGTGAAGCCTTTTTTTTAAATTATGCCATTTTTCTGTCTGATCAACCCCCTTTGTATACACAGATTAAAGATAGTATTATTATATCATAGAATGTTTTTGTCGTCTGTAAATCAGTATTATAATGTAATACATAATATGATATATTAGTATGGATATTCGCATAATGTAAGATTCAAACATCTTTCTGTTATTAGAGAGAGAGAAAAACGGAAGCGACGTAATAATATACATTGAATCAAATATGATTTATACATAACCCAATGGAAGTTGTCTTTTTTACTACAGTAAATCAGGTAATACAGTCGAATGCAAAAATATTCAATGCATCTCGTAAAAGATACAAAGATAGCATAGGGGTCTTAAAAATCAGAAATTCAACAAATAATTTACTTTTTGGCTCAGATAGACTATCTGTAGATCAAAGCAAATTTCTATCAAAAGATGTTCACACTTTAATTATGAGTAACAATCGATTCACATCTACAATATAATACCTCTTTTCTCTCTTCCCTGCCATGACTTATTAAATTAGGTCTTAACTATTGTTATAAGAGTTTAAATTCTATTCATCTTAAAACAGTTCTCGGCATTTCAAGTTTAAAAAAAGTCCCCAATATTTCTAGAATATTCAGATACTATAGTAATGTTTGAATCATTCAGGAGTGGCATGATTTACTTCCCACGTATAGGAGGAACATCACTAATTCATCATCCCATTGCTTTCTATGTTAAATTCCTCAATTTCAAGCAGTCACAGCTCTTTCGTCTTGAGTTCAAATAAAGTGACAATCATTTCATGTCAAAGCAACTCTTTATGGTGTCTTGTACTGAAAAAAATCAATATACCTTTAATTGCATATTTAAAGAGTACTAGTTCCCTGAACTTGGGAAGTACCAAAACAGGTACTTCCGATCTGAAAAACAGGGAAAATGTACCCTCTTTTTTAAATTTCATACATTTTTTTTATTATCAAAATTATAAAGTCATAAAGGATACTCCAGTGTTCACCAGTCATTCAGCTTTCATTTGATAACAAAATTACCAAACTATTCTACATATTTTGAAAGTTACACCCATGCGTAGAAACTTTTTTGTTTTTGAAATATGTACTACTTTCCGTTATGTTCTTTCAGACCGAGCCCGAATTGGAAGTGTTACACTTATAGCCATCACATAGGCACTACTTATCTTCTCTATTCTAGATGTAGCCATTCTGAACAGTTCACATTACATTTTATTTCCTTTAATAATTCGTAAAGATTCCGGATTGTTTTACTCCAACTGTTATAGTTCGTTCATTTTTTCTCTCCCAAAAAGGTGTTTTTCAGCTCCATTTTTTTAATTGAAAAAAAATGAGAAGTGGAATAGACATAAATTTTACAACTTAGTAACGTCTTCAAAACATAAGAGTTCTTATGTTTTTGGTAACAGCCGCACAGTTTGCTTTTTTTCCAGTTTTGATGTTGGTTTCTACCGTACCAGAACGTCACTTTGTTTGAAAGTTAATGCAAGTTTTGATTTTCAAAATAATATTTTACTTTGCTTGATGTTCATGACGTGTTTTGTTTTCATTTCAAATGACTTTATACAAACTTTAATTATTAGGTTATCTTACTAAGTAAACATTTTCGTGTCAAGTTTATATTGATTACAAAAAAAAAAACTATACCATTTCAAAGAGATAACCGCATTAGCAAAAGCTAATCATCCCGAGAATCATCAAAATGAGTCACACTCACATGATGTATTATATACAACTTAAGGTAAAAGTACATTATTTAAACGCCAAATAAATACATTTACAGCAAATGCTTCGATTCACAAAGTATTCAGAGACTACTGGTTAAAAAAGAAGTTATAACATTTATTATTTTGCATTTATTACAGAGCTTAGTGGACAACCTTGGTTATATTTCAATAAGAAAATATTTTGTTTATGAAGGCAAATTATATCATATTTGTGCACCTGAGTACATTCAAATGTTTTCCTCATTAAATGGGCTTTGACTCTGGCAGGTGTTAGTATCCTGCTTTATAGTTTTTTTTATATTTATCTGACTATTGAAAGGTTTGATGCTTTGCACATTCATTATGTACTGTCCATCTGGTAGGAATGAAAATCTGAGTAATACAGCCGAATAGAACTGTGTGTTCTTTTTCTTTATTTCAATTAATCGTAGCATACTGATAATATCTTTTCAGATACCTTTAAACAAGAATATGTGTCCATAGGACACAACGCCAAGCGCGAACTATATTTCTTTGTTCAGTGAACCTTGAAATCTGAATCAAAACTCTCATTTGACATATAAGTAAAAAAGCTCACATCATCATGAATACGTTAACTGTACCAAGTTTCAAGTGGATGTAAATTTTAATCACAACTTCATGGTAAAATACCTTGACCAAAAAACTCTGACACGAGAAGTAAATCCAGATGGACGGACAGTAAGACCGGAAAACATAATGTGCCCATAATATTGTAGGCGTGGCATAACTAACATAGAGTGTTTTCAATATTCATAGATTCGAGCACAAATGAAGCAATGGCATCCAGATTAACACTAAAAGACCAGAGATACACTATTTTTTTCTTCTGGTAAGCCGCAGCTCCGAAATAAAATTGTAAAAATCCCATTTGAAAAAAATATACAATTCTAAACAATGCATACGGATAAAAGTAGATATGGGTTATACGTATATGAGACACCAACCCAACGACACATATACCGTCATAAAGACATCTATAAACCAACATACGATTTTCAACAATTGAAGATCGATGTCTTCACAAATTGTCAAGTTGTAAATCTCCCCGCATTTTGTGCTTAAGCTTACCAGATACCATCATAGATCTTTCATCAAAACCAATAAACTCAATATCACAAAAACACGTTCATGTCAAGCAATAGTAAATGGGTTACAAAGGGAAATTTCACTCACATCAAGTTCACGTGAATTTCACCTCAAACGAGCTTATACGTAAAACTCACGTGAAATCAGTTCATGTGAGTTTCACGTGAATCTAATGTGAAACTCACCTGAATTTCATGTAAAAAGCACATACATTTTTTTCACGTGAATTCACGCGAATTTTTAAAATAAAGTAATTCAAATACCATCTTAATTTTCAAGTTTAATTAAAATCATGAAAAGTACCAATTTTTTTTTTTTGTAAAGTTCTCGTGAAATTCACATTAAAATTTTCACGTGAGTTTCATGTATAAGCTCGTTTGAGGTCAATCTCACGTGAAAATTTTCACATGAATTTTAAGTGAGATTCATGTGAAATTCATGTGAGCAAATTTTGCCTGTGTATGTCTCAGATTTTAATTACATTTTGCATACAACTTTGGCATATTTAACACTAAATAAAAATCGTAAAACAAATTTTAAACTTCTTTTGCTAAATCGTTTTGATTGAGATCCCTTGAAAAATTCAACATTTGTATTGAATGTACATAAAATCTTTCAAAAATTTAACTTACTGTGTGCTTTTCTAGATGATGGTAAAAAGTACGGAACAGTAGATAATGGAACGCGACAGAGAACCTTCCCTAATGGAACAGATAAGGATGACAGTCATGATTACGAGAACGTTAAAGAAAAGAACGATACAGGAGGAGTTGTCATTGAACCCATTAAATTAAAGCGATCTGTAGGTTTGATAAGTGGTACTTCGCTAATTGTAGGCACGATCATAGGTAGGTTTGACTTACATATTGCTTTTTTTGTTGTGACAAGACCAATATGTTATATAGTATATATATTAAGTTCAACATGCAAATCGTTTTACTAGGAGAATTACACTGTGTCTAAACTACCCCGGCGAAAAATGTTTGGACTCAATAGTATCAAATGTCCGGTACGGTGACGGACAATCAACAAACAGAGAAAGGTAGAATTTCTGTTTATTTATATGTTGTTTTAATGATACTGAAGAATGTACATACACATAAAACTATTTGCGATTGTGTGATGTAATATTTTCTACAACCGTTCTAGATTTATGGAGAAATAAGTAAAAAGGCACATCAAAATGGTGAATTGAGTGAGCCTTGCCTCGAATTTGTTTAATTTCTCTTTAGATTGAGCACATTGTACGGAAAGAAAGGTACGGAAAGAAAGATATTAACACGGAGATTTCAAGACCAGTCACTATGATCACCTCAATATTTGCATGTCTGTGCATGGAACGACAGAAATGGGTCATGTCTAAATTGAAGCACCCGGTTTTGTCAATGTGTACGACCCGGTTTTGTCCTTAAATTTCATAAAGCAGACCCGGTTTTGTCATAGAAAATAATGCATAATCGCATGACGAAAATTAAAATCTGGCGTTCAACAGGAGTTTGGGGGATCATTGAAAAACAATTTCTTTCAGGTAACTTATAACCTGTTTGAATCCGTAAACACTTGAATTCCTGCTATGTTAGAACAAAGCTAATTTCAATTTTGTTATGTATAAAAAAACTTATACTTTAACGGAGATATTAAAAAGAAATGAAGGTTTTGAAACGCTATTAGATTTTTTTATATCAATTATGTAAATGTAAGTGTTCAAACTTAAATAGTGTACGGCCTTGAAAATTGAAGGACGCACATTTGATATGTGATTTTCTGGGACAAGATGGTTATCTTAATGTTTCGCTCGACCTAAAAGGGGAGGCAGTATGATCGTTTAAAAATGAATATTCTGAAACTAAATGTTCATTATAAAGCAAGAGAATAAGACAAATGTATATGTATGCAGAATCGCCCAAGAAAAGGAATTTCCATGCGGTGAAAGGATCACAATAATAGTGCGTTAAAAAATCTGTTTACCCCTCCTTGTTACAATAATACTAAGTATAAATTAGTATGATAGTCTCAGGCCATCCGAAAATTGCAATGATGATTATTTTATGGTTAGTTATTTTATGAATACACGGTGTTTTCTCTTTTTTTTTTCTCTTCTTTTTATTTAACATTAACACATTCTTTATTACACTAGTATCTAGTTGTTAACAACTGCCCTATATAGTACAACTATTATATACAGTTTTATCTCTTCATTGTATAATGATTATCGTACATTGACAAATGTTCTACAATTTAAGCACGTTGGTCAAGTTTAAAATTGTCAATATGCAAGGGCGGACCGAGGATTTTTGAAAGGGGCGTATTTATAACAACGAATTTTATACCGCCGAGCGTAGCAAGGGGAACTTTTTTTTGACGATTTTATGCTAAATAAAAAATCATATATAAATCGTAAAAAACTTGACAAAATAATTATTTCTAGCCACCAAAAAAGGGGGAGTCGGCGTACTCCCTCTACCCCCTTGATTTGCCACTGATAAAATGCAACTATATCGTATACCATCATAAAATTTAATAAAAGACGAAAAAATAGAGACATCCGCCAATCGCATATTTACTATAGAGGCTCAGTAATCAAAAGAGTTAAGCCTTTTTCAACTGACTGATTTTTATAGTTTGTTCATATGTTGTGCTGTTATACCAGTTTTTTTCTTTTTTTTTCTTTGGGGTGGGGGTGGGGGGGGGGCTTACACGTTCAACACCGCCATTCTGTATGTGCCAGTACCGAATACAGGGGCCTGTAAATCGGTGGTTGTCTTTTGTTGCTGTATATCATAGTTGTTTTTCGTTTTTTATTTTGTTCATAAATCAGGTCGTTAGTTTTCACGTTAGTTTTTTTGCATTTTTCATTTCGGGGCCATTTTTTAGCTTGCTATGCCATATGGGCGTTTCTCATTGTTGGGTGCCATACGGTGATCTATATTTGTTATCTTTTACGTCATTTTGTCTCTGATGGAAAGCTGTCTCATTGTCATTTTTCACGGGCTAAATTGCCACTTAGGTTGTTCTAAATAAGACGAAGATATTGGACGTTATAATGTTGCAAACCAACTTTTATTTATAAAAAAAATTAATTCTTTTATGCCATGCTCAATGCTCATTTTAACATAGGTAGGCATTATATTTGTTAATATTGTTAGACCAAGCGTTAGCAAGGTTTAAAATATTGACAAATATAATGCCTACCCATGTTAAAATGAGCATAGAGCATGGCATGATAGAATTATTTCGATTCTAATAGGGAAGTTTAGAACTTGTGTACTTCGAAGCGGACATAAAATACACTTTTGAAAGGCAACCATTTTGATTTGAGGTAGCCAAAATGTTCCAAGTCTTTCTCTCACTGTCCGTTAATGAATGAATGAATGAGTAAATATATCGTTAACATAGCGTATAGTATAGTAAAGCATACTATCTTTATTCTTTTGATAAATTGATATGGTAACAAAATCATTCCACAATTTCTTATTTTTACATCATTACAGTAGTATAGAAATCAAACAAACATCATAAGGAATTAATGTAAGTGCATGCTATAAAGTAATTATTTCCATTTAACCTTAGGTCGAAGATATTAAGTTCAATAAGGTATACGTATATCATTCGAAAAATGTCTACTCCCTTTTTCGAAAAATTCCCGTTTAAAATATATTTTAACACGACATGTTTGTATTGCAATAATAAGAATAACATCTTTTTGACTCACGTATTTAATTTCTTCCGACGGGCAATGCTCAGATCCGTGTTAACGTAGCTTTTTATAAATTTGTGGTTTCAAAACAAAACAAAACCGGGTCCTATACTGAGACGAAACCGGGTCCTTATGTAGTAAACAACATTGACGAAACAGGATGCTTCCATTTTGACATGACCCATTTCTTTCGTTCTATGCACAGAAATACAAATATTGAGGTGCTCATAGTGACTAGCCATGCAATCTCTGTGTTAATATCTTTTTTCCCCGTATTTTTCTTTCCGTACAATGTGCACAATTTAAAAAGAAATTAAACAAATTCGTGGCAAGGTTCATTCAATTCACCATTTTGGTGTGCCATTTTTACTTATTTTTCCATTAATCTAGAACGGTTGTAGAAAATATTACATCTCACAATCGAAAATAGTTATATGTGTATGTATATTCTTCAATATCATTAAAAAATAAATAAAGAAACAGAAATTCTACCTTTTCTCTGTCTGTTGATTGTCCGTCACCGTACCGGACATTAGATACTATCAAGTCCAAACATTTTTTGCCGGGGTAGTTAAGACACAGTCAATTATTTAAAACTGGAAAAGCAAAATGACCGTAACGAAATCTCAATCAACGGACTAATGTCAAGGAAAATATTGAAAATATTTGGATTTAACATTCATTTCTTTCAATGCTTTCAGCTTTATTACAACATACACCGATATGTCTGCTATATGGTCGGGTTGTTGTCTCTTTGACACATTCCCCATTTCCTTTCTCAATTTTATGTAACAAGTTTACAATCAATAAGGAAGATTTTAAAGTGTTTATCTTGTACGAAAGAAACGGGTTTGTTTTTGATTAAAATTCCATAAAATGAAGGAGTTTACGTCCGACATAAGTAAGAAGAAGGCGCATGCATGATAGTGAACAACGGGATGTGGTTTTACGAATATTTTTGCATCTATCAATAAGTTGTTATCCGTGTAATCACAAAAGAAACCAAGAAGTCTATTGGAATGTTAAATCTTAAAGGCATACAAGATGTCATTTGACTTAAAAATCTATTTTTCATCTCTCAAGAAACACATAATAATAGTCAGAGCGCGTGCTACCATGACAACACATTTGAAACTACAACATTGTTGTGGTGAATACATAATTCAAATAAAAATTCCCCCCTCTTTTTTAATTGCAAAATGCAATTTCGAGAATTCTATGATTTCTTCAAATTATTGAAATAAAAATTATTCGGTTCTTGTTTGTTTTACAGGTTCTGGTATTTTTATTTCCCCTACTGATGTATTAGACAGAACGGGATCAGTCGGACTAAGTCTGGTCATATGGTCACTTTCTGGCCTTCTGGCGCTATTGGGTATGCATATTTAAGAGTGCTTTACCAATGCTAAATTTTTTATTGTGCGATCTTTGATGTACATATTGTTTCTTCAATAGTACTGGTCGGTATTAAAAAGGAGTGGCTGTTAATATCACCAATACCTAATTTAACCCCTCCACACATTATGTACCTGACCTAGTTCAAGAACTTCGACATTGCTTGTCCATTGTCTTATCTAAATATTTATTGTTTGGTTGAAGAGTGTATGTATATAATGGCAAATCTTTGGCAGTTTCTCTTTTATTTATTTACAACTTTTAAAGACTCCTCACGATGGCTTTTGTTAAGCCATGTGACATTTGTTTGTTACGATATGAACTTACTTCTAAATTTGTATTTAGAAGAAGTTTTCTTCGTACTTTTTTTGATTTTTTTTTATTGAGCTGAAAGGGAGAAGGTATGATATGGCCACATTTGTTGGCTCCTTGAGTTCAGAATAAATAATATTTTAATCATATAAAATAACTTCCTTCTGATGTTTAGATGATGAATGTTTATATTACAGTAAGTAGCCAGTTTGAATTGTGTCTCCTATATATGCACCAGGACTTCTCACTTTTGGCATTTAATTAATAAAAAACTGCAAAAACTGCAAAAATATTTTCATTTTGAGATTATGATATTGATATTGAGATATAATCCACAGCCCAAACAAATATTTTGTTACAAGTTGTTTGATAAAAGTATGGTGATGTGGGCACACTATCTTCGTGGGTAAGGCTCACTTCTAATTTTACCAAAAACTATGTGTAAATATATTTGCATAAGGAGATGTGTTATGATTGCCAAAGACACAACTTTTCACCAGATCAAAGGATGAGGATGTAATTTTATAATAATCCACTGATCTATGGTCTTCAACAATGAGCAAAACCAATACTGTATAGTAAGTTATAAAATGACCGGAATGACATAACGTAAAACAATTCAAAAGACCTTATCAATCCATTCATTAATCGCGGAAAGTAACATAATGTTGCATAACATTGAAGAATTTTACCATTTTTGCAATTTCAGGTGATTGATTCTTGTTCGTATCATACTGCTCTTAAAGTAGTTAGCATATTGAGTTAACAGTATATATCAATATTCGCTCCAACTGATTAGATGAAATGTAAATTAAATGCATATGCCAAGGCACTACAAAAATCACCAGATTTTTTTCCTTTTTTTTTTTTTTTTTTTAGAAAATATGATCATTCAACTGTATATTGTAGGTGCTTTATCATACTCAGAACTTGGAACAATGATCCGTAAGTCTGGTGGAGAATATGCCTATATGAAGGAAGCATATGGTGATGTCATGGCATTTTTATTCGCATGGACTTCCGTTATTGTAATAAGGACATCATCGGTAGCCATCATATCACTGACGTTTGGGGAGTACATGGCTACATTCTTCCCAATGTGTGGCTCTCCAGAAAATATAAAGAAACTCGTTGCCATAGTTGTAATAGGTATAAAGTACATATATGATCTCACATAAAACTAGATAAAAGAACTTGTCAGCGATTCTAGGAATACTAAACATAAGAAACAGCAGTTGTCAATTAAAATATAAACGCCATGACGATTTGAGTGACTGCATGATCTAAGTTTTATACCCTTAGACCGGTGATAATTCTAAAATGGACACATTTGAAATAGGATGCATCGGTTTCGGTGAATTCTCAGTTACCTGATATAAAATTTTGTACATAGGAAATAAAAAAAAATGTTGTCAGTATTTTATTTCTGCTTTTGCCTTTCACTTTTTCCTTGGGATATACGTGAGCATGTATATTCGATTAAGCATACTTCTTATCTTCTCAAATAGATAAAATGCATCACTGTAGAGTATGCACTAATTGTATATTTTTATTGTTGATATTCACCCCATATGTACCAAGTATTAGATTAGTTTTATTGAAGAAATTTCTTGGTATTCCTAAAAGGGAGATTTTATACACACAGTAGAAGAAGTATACTTAACAACAAAATTATTTTCATTTACCTGTGTATAATATGACGCAGGTTTCTTCAAAAGTGATGATTTTCTAAAAATTGTTTGAAATTTCAGAGTGATATCATACTTTAACTTTGTTTAAACCTGTTTATTTACTTTTGACTTTAATTATTGATCCCTTGTAATTTTTTATTAACTGTGTATTTGCATTCAAGTGTCACAAGTCAAATTTATTCGTTCATTGTGTGTTAATTTACGTTTTTTGATTGAGTTAAGCCTTCCAATTGATATTTTATAGTGTGTTTTTCTATGTTGTGATGCTATACTATTGTTTCAGAAAAGGGAGAAGGTTTGGTACCATTAAAACGTTTAATCCCGCTGCAAATGTTTGCACCTGTCCTAAGTTAGGAATCTGATTACAGTAGATGTCGTCTGTTTATGTAGTTCATACGTGTTTCTCGTTTCTCGTTTTTATATAGATTAGACCGTTGGTTTTTCCGTTTGAATGGTTTTACACTAGTAATTTTTTTGGGGCCATTTATAGCTTGCTGTTCGGTGTGAGCCAATGCTCCGTGTTGAAGGCCGTACCTTGACCTATAATGGTTTACTTTAATAAATTGTAACTTGGATGGAGAGTTGTCTCATTGGCACTCATACCACATCTTCCTATATCTATGTATTATTTTGAAGTTTATATCTTAATATACTTACCGGTACTTCATTAAAAAGAACAATAATTAAAAAACCTGTACTTAATATTTATATTTCATTTTTCTCAACGCGAGAAACAATTTTGTCTTAAAAATAAGACTTTTTTATTTGTAGTCACGATAGCTGTAGTAAACTGTATAGACACAACATTGGCGGTAAGGATGCAAGTATTCTTTACAGCTGCCAAACTAATAGCTCTTATGATAATTGTTGTCGGAGGATTGATTCGACTGGGACAAGGTAAAATTCTAAGCCAATTGCTGAAGATATGATCCTTAATTGTTTGTATTTAGGTTCGTTTTTATCTTGGTAAGTAGAAATAAAAAATGTTGATGTTCGATTTAAGAGTATGTATGTGTTACATAAATGTTTTAGCTAATTCAAATTATCGAATTTGTATCGAACTAATTGATAGGAGATAGATATCTATGTGTACAGATTACTGCTTATGCCGCTGTGGTTGAGATTAAAAGCCGTTTATTTGAAGAATGAAGTTCATTACAACTTATTACTTGCTGAAGTCGAAAATCAATTCTCGAATATTTTGATTTCCGCCATTTCTGAAATGTACAAACTGCCGTAAACATTCTCTTACAATTAACTCTTAAGAAATACATGCATTAATCGTTTGTTGTTGTGTTACATATTTGTTTTTCGTTCATTATTTTGTACATAAATTTGTCCGTTAATTTTTCTAGTTTGAATTGTTTTTCATTTGTCATTTCGGGGCCTTTTATAGCCGACTATGCGGTATGAGCTTTGCTCATTGTTGAAGTCCGTACGGTGACCTATAATTGTTAATTTCTGTGTCATTTGGTTTCTTTTGGAGAGTTGTCTCATTGGCAATCATACAACATCTTCTTTTTTATATTTTACCTACTTATAAATGACAGAAGCTGTGGTCAGCACGGGAAATAAATAACTACTCAACGACAAATATTGTACTTTTCAGGTCATGTTTCACAACTAAAAGACTCCTTCAAAGGAAGTGAGACGAACCCGTCATCAATAGCCCTGGCGTTTTACAATGCGTTGTGGGCATACGATGGATGGTAAGTCATACGTCTGCAGTTTGGTTTTTAAAATTATATCACCAATAATAAGAAATTGGGCATTACTAGGAGATACTACATAATTATAATAAAAGAATCAGTTTGCTTTAAGTTAACTTGATATATTAAGGAAGATAATTCACTATTTTGTAATCTAGCCATTCGATAAGTTGCTAAGTATGAAAGAACGATTACTTTAAAACTTTCAAGACTCGATTTCCATGCTTTCTGGATGCATTTGAACAGACTTTTTCAAAATAAATTTCGTATTGACGCATATATGATCAATGTGGTGGGATTTATAGATTGCTACAGGAAAGGGCTAAATGTTCATCCCCAGCAATAATGTAACCCTGCATGTTTTCTTTTCGGTGGAAATCAACCCTGCAGAGTATCTAATATGATAACACTTCATACTTTCATGTCATATGAGTTTTTATGCTGTTCTAGATGTTATTTACCTTACCAGAAAAGCGCAAAACGGTAAAAATTTGTTGAAAAGCGCAGATATATTTATATACTATATTTGTGTAGTTTGAGTTATCTCGCTTGATCTATAAACACTGTCTGAAAAGTTGTTCATTTAAAATTTTCATGTAAATGATACAAACCGCTTTATCTAATAAAAAGATATGCAATACTTGAACCCTAACACCCAGAAGGTTCAGAACAAATATATTGCTTATTCTTTAGCTTTGTTGAAACACAATATTTTTGTAGATAACGACTAGAGTTAACAAATACAAATTCATAGGTGAAGTGGAGAAAATTCATATGACAAACATGTAAAATAGTGCGATAGCTGATAAATAAAAGCACTAAGACATCTTATCCCATTGTTTCATTTGCTATTTGGGCAACTTCAGAATCTAATTAGAAAGCCTTTAAAGTAATAACATTGTCTTTTGTGGATTCAAATGGCCGCATTAATTATTGTATTAAATTTCTTTAAGGATGTTTGCTCCTCTTGTTTTTGAATTTCTGCCAGATTTTCGGAATCCTCAAGTTTTATCCATGTATTGCCATTAAAAAAATTTGCCCACTAACCCCTACTTTTCTTTTCATAATTTTATTACATATAGTTTAAAAAGCCATATTTGAAAATCCTATAGAATCCTTGTTATTTTTTCATTTTTTTTTAAAGAAAAAAGGTGTCAATGTTAAATGTATGAAAAATCTAGAGAGAATCATTTCCCGCCAAATTTTCAATGGCTTATATCTCGAAAACAAGCACACGGACCCTTCATTTTTTTCTGCTTTTTTAGTTCCTTCATTTATATACTATCAATTTATAACAGTCTTTTAAAAAGCTTATTATTTGGAAAAAGAGTAGCGAACATCCTTAATGCCTTTTCTTCTTTAACGTTTACAACACTTGTTAGAATTTTCTACTGTTGTCTGACAAATCGTATACATTCATTTCATTTATAAGATGTCTTGGATCCACACAAATGTTTTTTTTTGGGTCACACGTATGACAAAATACACTTATATTTAATGTTGTCTTTTTTCAAACAAACTTACATTTTTCTAGTCTCCGTGCATCATAATCACATAAAATAATTTCAACTTTTATACAGCACCAAATGCGCATTTCCACAATCAGTGACACTTAAATCCCAAATATTTGAAAACCGAAAGCTAATAAAAACGTTGAAGAGCTGACATAATAAAATTAAGAATGGAAATGGGGAATATGTCAAAGCGACAACAACCCGACCAAAAAGCACACAACAGCCGAAGGCCACCAATGGGTCTTCAACGCAGCGAGAAAATCCCGCACCCGGAGGTGGTCCTCAGCTGGCCCCTAAATAAAATTGTGTACTAGTTCAGTGAAAATGGACGTCACCCTAAACTCCAAAACATATAAATGAACTAAAATCTAAAAACATACAAGACTAACAAAGGCCAGAGGCTCCTGACTTGGGACAGGTGCAAAAATGCGGCGGGGTTAAACATGTTTTGTGAGATCTCAACTCTCCCCCTATAACTCTAGCCAATGTAGCATAAGCATATAAGATCGTGCAAAGAATTGCGAAATTCGGAAAAGGGTCAGGGCTATGAATGACTGATTAATTTCAAGTGATTTTCTAAGATATACAACAGTTTACAGCAAATTCCAATAACGCAGAATCCGCATTTTCATGCCAGTTATACGAAGAACTTAGGTTCTTGGCTGGTGATGACTTCGGACATCAATAGATCACCAGCAGAAGTATATGTTAATTGTTATAAAGTTGTAATACGTTGAAAAAGTGAGGGTCTTTAACATACACTAAAACATCAACTTCAACTTGAGGGTTGTTTTAATTGCTTTTCCGACGATATTTCGATTTCAGGAATAACTTAAATTATGTCACAGAGGAAATAGAAGATCCAAAAAAGTGAGTACATTTATAAAATGTGTGTGTGTGTGTGTGTGTGTGATTTAAATTCCAGGTAACCATTTTTTTACTATAAACATACCAAAAATTCTATCAAAAGTAAATTTTGTTCAGTGTAAGTAGAATAAAAAAAATTAATGCTTTCTGTCATTTGACCTAATATTTTAAGTTTCAATCTATGATTTCAAATTGACAATTCACGAAACACAAATGCTATTTAATAATTGCTTTGTAGACGACAAATGTGATTAAACAAATCAAAACATGGATCATACACTTATCTAATAAATATTTCTTTGTTTCTTCGCGAAAATAAAAAAAAAGAAATTTATGCACTTCTTTGCTTCTTAACGAAAATCAAACTGATGCACTGTTATTGATTCACCTCTATTTCAGAAACCTTCCGAGAGCAAACATTATAGCAGTACTGCTTGTTACTATTGTTTATATACTGACCAACATATCCTATCTAACAGCAATGACAGCGGCAGAATTACTCACTGTGGACGCAGTAGCAGTCGTAAGATCCCACAATTTTTAAGAGTTAGCAGCTTATTCCACTGATCAAAATAAAAGGAAGAGGCACGAGTACTAAAAAAACTAATGTACCCCTGTAATTTTTTTATATGTCTGTCAAAAGTCATAAACTCCATTAGTTGTTGTCTTTAGCTATAACCTAGTGTTTGTTCCTTTAAAGAGGTTTCTTTTTATAGTAAATTATTTATAATACCTGCTCACTTATTCAAAATTGTGTAAGCTTGGTCTGTTTAGAGCAACAAAAAAAGGAATAGACAGTGATCTATGTGTTGACCTCTATATATCTTTCTTACTATATATTGAAGGAATTTTGTCTTAATTGCATATATCTCACATATATCTCCTCTTGACAATATTACGTATTTCATGTGCAAGATGACAAAATGAGAATTAATATGCAAGGAAGTAATGAAAACGACTGCGTAAATATGCAAACATTTATTAAAAGACATTTTGTAAATTACAATTTGTAATGTATTTTTTTTTTATTTAATGTTTACTGATTTAGTGTTATAGCTCGTATCACTATTTTTAATATATACCATATTTGATTAATGGTTAGTATGACGATAAATTTTCACTTTTGTTCTCGTACTATGAACAACAAAATTATTTATTTATATATTACAACAAAATTATTTTTATTTACCTGTGTACGTTATTTTATTTGGCGGCATTTTGTCCAAGGTTATGGTTGTCTTTCTGATATCGTTTTACATCTAACCCCCTTGTTTTATTAATTTTGTATTTACATTGTGTTATAGATCAAATTTATTCGTTCAGTGTATGTTCACTTGTTTTTGTTAATATGTCTTTTGATTGAGTTAAGCCATTTCAATTGATATTTTATAGTGTGTCTTTCTATGTTGAGATTTACACTATTGTTTCAGGTAGGGTGAAGGTTGGCGCCTATTAAAACGTTTAAACCCGCTGCATTTGTTTGCACCTGTCTTAAGTCAGGAACCTGATGTTCAGTTGTTGTCGTTTGTTGATGTGGTTCATATGTTTCTCGTTGCTCGTTTTTTTATATAGATTAGACCGTTGTTTTTTTCTGTTTTACACTAGTCATTTTTGGGGCCCCTTATAGCTTGCTGTTTGGTGTGAGACAAAGCTCCGTGTTGAAGGCCGTACTTTGACCTGTAATGGTTTACTTTTACAAATTGTGACTTGCATGGAGAATTGTCTCATTGGCACTCATACCACATCTTCTTATATCTATTTATGAAAAAAAGAAGCAGTTAAATTCAACAAAATGACCATCTATGACGTGGATTAAAAAAAAGTAGTGTTTTGACTGATCTTTACATTTCATCAAACCATATCCTGGTTGCTGTGTCTACTTTGTTATCGTGTGAGCTAATTGAGAAAGCACGAAATATTTTGTACATTTTGTCAAAGCAGATTGTACCTGATTATTCATTTATCTCGTTTATAAAAGTATGTGAAGTTCATTGACATCATATATAATGCTTTATTGTTACGGAACTCATACTGTCTTATGGTTCAAAACTTTAAAGATTTCTACAGCTAATAATAGTATTACATATTTTATGGTCTTTTGAGTTCTATGAATATTCAGAAATAAGGTATTTAAAATATGATTGTTTAAAAATGTGGTTTCTATTACAGTGTACACTTACTTATAAAGTATACGAACTCTTACCAAATTAATTTCTGATTTTTGCTCAAGTAATTAAAAAGTTGACCATTTGGTCTAATGTTAGAAAATACCAACAAGGTTAATAACAGGTTATGCTTCTTCTTCTACTTCTGATTTGTAGTGACCGACTTCAGCACGCCGAAGTTTATATCAATTGTACTGCCCATGGCATAGTTGGTCGGTATTTATAGAAAAATAGATCTGAAAATTACGAAACAAAATCAATTACGATATTTTTACATAGTATTCATTCTTTTTCTATTTTTTACATAAAGATAAACCTATTTACATACGACAAAGTCGCTCATTACCATGTTCAGTTGATGGCTGTCCCAGGTTTTATTAGTGCGAGGAAAAAATGATTGTTGGTATATTTGGGCTGCGAGTTCATGAGTGAACGTTTACACGTTTATTTGATAAAATTTATTTAAAATAACCAAAATATATGTCTATTTATTACAGACTTGGGGAGACACAGTTTTAGGGGGAGCAGCCATTCTCATGCCCTTAGCTGTTTTATTTTCTACTTTTGGAGCTGCTAATGGCACCCTCTTCAGTGGAGGAAGGTAGGACAGTCTGTAACATCTATTAAGATAATTAAAAGATTGAATTAATCTATGTCAGTTGATTAAAATGTTAAAACAAAGCAAATACGGATGGAGTAAAACACGCGTTATCACTCATACTATATATCGCTGTTATAGGTAAACATATCGCAGGCAAAGTTGATCATGATGTACATTAATTTGGCAATTATGTATTTACGCATTCCTCGCTTTCAAATCTCAAAGTTTGATCGTTCCTGATTAAAGTAAATCCATAAAAGCGTTTTGAACGCACGACATTTTAAAAGCGTTTATTTTATTATCATATGTAACAATATTGATAATATCATAACTGTGTTTATTTTTAACATGCTATATCAAAGATATTTATTTTGTGTACAATACAAGAACAGTTATTTTTCATAATTATGTTATACTTTTCCTGTTGACAAACAATGCTTTAATTTTTTTTGGTCAAGTTTTACCAAACAAAAACAAAATGATTAATTTCATTTCATTTCAGAAATTAACTACACAGACTGTTTTAATTTGTTTATCTTGATATATCACAGTTTACATAAAGTGGCATATAATATTTAATAACTTAATAACTAAAATTTATTCTCGACTTCATAATTTGACATACATTCTTACAACCTTAACATATGTTTTCACTACAAAATATATTTATTTGTTACAGAGTCGTGTACGTAGCCAGTCGAGAAGGTCATTTACCAGAAGTTTTGTCGTATGTACACTGTAAAAGGGTCACACCAATGCCATCGATTGTTTTTACAGTTAGTAAATTGTATTCAAAGTTTGTAATACAGCCATTAATTATGTAGATTCGTTTTCTCATTCTGTGGTTTTGTGTAGTTGCAAATCGTACTGCATCTCCTTATATTTTATCTACGTATGACTAAACAAGGAGAAATATAGGGTATATGTCCATGAAAAAAAAAGACCAAAATGTAAAGATATATAGTTAAAGAGATAGTCACAGTTTATTTTACATCAAACAAGTTTCTATATATTCAAATAAAAAGGAGAAGTCTAATATTAGATTGCTGTTTCACCTAACACTTTCTTTAAATCCTAGTAATCATAAACAACAGACGCATTTTTTTTGCACCAAGTATAAAAAAAACTTCACAAAATGAAACCTGTCGCATTAACCACATGACGGTAATACTAGAAAGAACTGTCATCTAATCAGGTTGGATGACAACTATACCGTTACCGAAATATGCTATAACAAACAGAGGTCTCTTTAAAGGAGACCACCTCGGTGGTCTCGTGGTAGCGTGTTCGCCTCGAGTGCGGGTGGTCGTGGGTTCAAAATAAGGATTATGAACAAATTAAGACTGGTCGGCTCGGAGTCAGAATAATGTTTTCCGATAGGATGACATGTCTTCCTGTGGACTGTTACCTTATGAACTAGCAAGTTAAAATCAGAAAGTCGGTCCAGTACAAAGTAGGGTTGATATTTATATCGCATTAACATGTTCTTGTCCTAAATATGTACTTAATTTGCCACTGAACGTTAAGCAGTCATCAATCATAATAATTTATTTTATGGTTGTGTTTTGTTGTCATGCTGTTTCAGTGACGTTATACCAAACCTTCTGCTTTGCAGTGTTGTCATGCTGTTTCAGTGACGTTATACCAAACCTTCTGCTTTGCAGTGTTGTCATGCTGTTTCAGTGACGTTATACCAAACCTTCTGCTTTGCAGTGTTGGCATGCTGTTTCAGTGACGTTATACCAAACCTTCTGCTTTGCAGTGTTGTCATGCTGTTTCAGTGACGTTATACCAAACCTTCTGCTTTGCAGTGTTGTCATGCTGTTTCAGTGACGTTATACCAAACCTTCTGCTTTGCAGTGTTGTCATGCTGTTTCAGTGACGTTATACCAAACCTTCTGCTTTTTAGTGTTGGCATGCTGTTTCAGTGACGTTATACCAAACCCTCTGCTTTGCAGTGTTGGCATGCTGTTTCAGTGACGTTATACCAAACCTTCTGCTTTGCAGTGTTGTCATGCTGTTTCAGTGACGTTATACCAAACCTTCTGCTTTGCAGTGTTGTCATGCTGTTTCAGTGACGTTATACCAAACCTTCTGCTTTTTAGTGTTGGCATGCTGTTTCAGTGACGTTATACCAAACCTTCTGCTTTGCAGTGTTGGCATGCTGTTTCAGTGACGTTATACCAAACCTTCTGCTTTGCAGTGTTAACATCAGAGACAGTCTACAAGTTTTAACCTGAATATTAGTAAAATCAATTTGAATTATTCCAACAAATTTTGTATTACAGTATTTAAATACAAATACCATAACATAGTACAAAATTTGAAAGAATATGTGTAAATATTTCTAAGAACTAGTTTGTACTTTACAGGCCTTAATAAGCATCGCCATGGTGATACCAGGAAATATAGGGAGTTTGATTGACTTCTTTAGCTTTACAGCATGGCTGTTCTACGGTCTTACCGTTGGTTCTCTTATACTTTTAAGATTTACAAGAAAGGACTTAGATAGACCTTTAAAGGTTAGTGAACTAATTTATATTATGAATAAATCTCATTGTCAGGTTCCTATTTAGTTAGTTTGTGTATAAACGAATACAAATCATTATATTATATCAAATTGAAGTATATAAAAATTATTATGATAACAAAAAAGAAAAAAAATGTCAAAATAGATAGACGTTTTCAGCCAAATGTACGATTTATATGAATTAACAATAGAAGAACTTTTCTTACAGCTGTTGTATGTTTAATATTTAAAATGTATTTGACATAACAATACAAATGTTGATTAATAAGAATGGTTGGGCGAAATTTTTCAAAGATTTAGAAATAAGTCTCGAAAACTGATTGCTTGTTCCCGGATCCCTACAGATATCATTAATCCATTGTTTAATCAGATTTGAAGAAAAACATATACATCAGCATTGCTAGAACCATAAGAATAGTAAATACATCTTGTTAAATGTTTCATTTTTCAGATCCCGATCATAATACCGATAATATTTGTGTTAATTGCTTGTTACTTGGTAATTGGACCAATTGTTCAAGATCCAAAGATTGAATTCCTGTACGCCTTTCTCTTTGTTATTGGTGGACTTTTGTTTTATATTCCTTTTGTTTACTTCAAAATAGAACTCAGAATATTTGGTAAGTATGAAAAAAACTCGAAGAACTTTCTGTGTTATTTACAAATGTATCTAAATTTGGTTTTTAATTTACTTTCTCTTGAAATACACGTGCATATAGTTATCAATGGTACCAGGATTATAATTTAATACGCCAGACGCGCGTTTCGTCTACATAAGACTCATCAGTGACGCTCATATCAAAATAGTTATAAAGCCAAACAAGTACAAAGTTGAAGAGCATTGAGGACCCAAAATTCCAAAAAGTTGTGCCAAATACGGCTAAGGTATTCTATTCCTGGGATAAGAAAATCCTTAGTTTTTCGAAAGATACAAAGTTTTGTAACAGGAAATTTATAAAAATGACCATATAATTGATATTCATGTCAACACCGAAGTGCTGACTACTGGGCTGGTGATACCCTCGGGGACGAAACGTCTACCAGCAGTGGCATCGACCCAGTGGTGTAAATAGTTATCAAAGGTACAATTCGGCCCAAATCTAGAAAATATGTGATTATCAAAGATCTGTCATCAATACAAACTTCCGAAATGATTTCTTGTTTTCAAAATACAAATGCATTTTACTACAGTAAGGTGCAGATTTAAATGTGTGTGCTTTGGTAAAATATAAGTGCTACAATGATGAATTCTTTTGTGAAAACACATTTGAAATGAGAAAAACCCGAATCATTAGCAGAATAAGCAAATATTATCTCTCTCTCTATATATAAATATATGTGTATTGTAAGTATTTTGTTACGACGACAATAAATATCGTAAAGTAATATCCCAATGCAGCCGTAGGTGAATTTGCCACAATAAAAAACATGATGATTAACACGGTCTTAAGATTATCTCACTCATGCATTATTTGGATAAACTTGTGGTTTCGTTGTTTGATGGCAAAAACCAAACGAAAAATGTTTTGAAAATCGAGAAATTAGGATTGTTAAAACAAAACACTCCTCAAAGATACAGGTTTATTATTTGGTAATACAGACACGTGTGTCGTCTACATCAGACTCACAAGTGACGCTCGAATCAAATCAGTTTGCAGGCCAAATCAATTACAAAATTGAAGAGCACAAAACGCTAATGTTGAAGGGACAATATATATGTTGTCATATGTATGAATGTTCTAAATGGTTAATCTTGTTAACAAAAAATGAACGCTGATGTTTAGTTTGTTAGCTATGATTTTTTTTACAAAGAATGATTTTGATGTAAAAATAGCGTCAACCAACAATGCATGTTTATTTTCATTTTTGGTGTAATTTTTCTTTTGCATAAAGCGAAATAAATATAAAGTAAAACAGACATGAATTCGGTATACAAGTATTTCCTCATGTTGATAACGTATTAATGTTTTATTTCAGCAAAAGTTACAGAATTTTTTCAACTGCTGTGCGAGATAGTACCTAGCCCGTATGAACCTGACGATTAATATTTGGATGTCCCGTATGAACCTGACGATTAGCATTTGGATGTAATTCACTTTGCTAGAGTCTACAAGTGTTCTGCAACGAATCGTAATATTTGATCACAATTTGCTATCTTGGAATGAACATAGATTTATTTTTAACAAAATTAAATTTCAAATCATTTAATTTGAATATTGCCACGTCTTAATCATAAAACACTGAGTTCATCAATTTTCATATTACTTATTCATAATCACGGAAGACAATCCCCTTATGTTCCATTATTTGACGATGTTTTTTTGGGAAGATACAGTTTTGTAAGAATTTAATGGCTATATAGATTATATTTTTATGCTTTATTCTAATGAATTATTTAGATAACATAATAGACGAATTACAAAGAAATGAAAATCTCTTATTTTAAATATCTTAAACCATTATGTAAAATGCATAATTATTTGTTTTATTATCAAAGTATTTGTTAGCTTTCTTTGCCCTTTCTAGCATGACATCATTTTTTTTATTACCCGGTACCTATGTTGTTTAATGCATATATGCCCTTTTTAGCATGTCAACTTTTTTTTTATATCACCCAGTATCTTTGTTTTTGCAAGGTGTATGTGTTCTTTTTAGCATGTCAATTTTTTATATTACCCTGTATCTATGTTCTTCATTGCATATATACCCTTTTTAGCATGTCAATGTTTGATATTTCCCGTATATATGTTCTTCCAAGGCATACATGCCCTTTTTAGCATGTCAATTTTTCTTATATTATCCCGTATCTATGTACTTCAATGCATATATGCCCTTTCTAGCTTGTAATTTTTTTATATTACCCCGTATCTATGTTCTTTAAGGCACATATGCCCTTTTAGCATGTCAATTTTTGATATAACCCTGTATCTATTTTCTTCAATGCACATATGAAGCGTGATCGACATCTAACAAAGAAGTCCGTTCAAAACGAGGCTAGGATGTGTCTGGAATTTAGTATACAGTGAAGTCTGAGCTGTTTATCAAATTTGAGGGCTTAATTGTGATTTTGAAATGAAGAACATCAATAAAAGCTGTGTGTTAGAATTTTTGTGTCTAAATTAATACATTTTTATTATACTTCACGTTAAAATGCCAGATTTTGATTGGCTAATACGAGGCAATAATTTACTCTATCCCATGGCTGAGTGGGAGACAATTTTTTTGAATGTCACCCTCTGGTGAAGACCAATCAAAAATCGATAATCTAAATGACAATGAATTGAATTTACCTCAAGTAAATAAAGACAATGCTTAAGTTCTACGTTTTTGCACATAACTTTTTCGATGACTTTCAAAATAAAAAAATAAAACATCTTGCTTCACTTCAGTTGATTTTTCGAATACCCGTAACGATGTTATGTACGTGACGTCATAGTAAAATACTTTGAATTTAAAATTCAACTGTATATGCCAATAATGAAAGGACATTCAGTATAATAAATTAAAAAACACATAGCTGAGAGGGTGATGCTTCGCCTCGGTTGACAATGTTTTCTCGGGGTAACAATCTGCTCTATCACCCTCTCATCTATGTGTTATTTATATAATTTTCCCTTTTTCCATTGTAAAAAGTAGAACATGTACGAAAGTTTATAAAGGTTTTTTTTTTCTATCTTAGGTAGGTTTTTTTCAATTTGTGTTAGACAGTTGTTTTTTTTTTTTTTTTTTTTTTTTTCGTTCATTGTTCGTCTTGGTGTGATGTTGATTCTTCAAGTTTAAAAGTACATCTTGAAATCAAAATGAATTCTGTATTCAAAGCTTGTTTTTCTAGATTCCATACTTTCTCGTAAGTAAGTTGATAAATGATTTGTACAGGATGATTATGATCAACTTCCTGGCCTACAAGACCAATGAGAACGCATTATGCCTATAAACCAAGACAAATTTACATATAACTTCTTTGATTGTTTCTTCTGCATGATATTCACGTCTATGCTTCTCTTTCAAAAATAGTACGTGTAAAACGACAACATTGATCAACATTTCAAAAATTTGGATCCCTAATTTCATTAAATTTAAATCTCCGCACTCGTTAACATTTTATGCTTGGTCGCTGTGAGTGAGCTCCCATGCTTCGTCCAGGTATCGGGTCCGTTCGCGCCCAATACACGTTCGCACCCTATACGTTCGCACCCCACACGTTCGCCCCCTGGGTCCGTTCGCACCCTTTTTTTTTTATTCAAAAACCTGATGAATTATAAGATGTTTTTTTACATGTTTATCTCAAAATAAAGAAAAATTCGGCAATTTTTAAATTTTTTAAATGAAATATTGTTTTAAATTGATTTGATGATTAATTATTATATGTTAATTATGTCACAATGATGATTACTGTTGATATATGGTGTTTTGAAACAATGAAAAAAAAACTTATTTATAGCAATACAATAACCAAAATACGATTAAAAAATTATACAACACAAAAATCGTTTTTAGAAAGACACTTAATTTTAAAACAATGAAAAAAAAAATATTTATAGCAATACACTAACCAAAATACGATTGAAAAATTATTTAACACAAAATCAATAAAAAGGGTGCGAACGTGTAGGATGCGAACGTGAAAGGGCGCGAACGGACCCGGATTCCTTCGTCCAGGCATAAAAAAGTGAGCGAGTGCGAAGATTTAATTCTTATCAGATTGCCTGGTTCCCTCACACTGCGCTGATACTCAAAACGCATACTTATAAATGAGATTCACTTGTTGTCGAGTATCGAGTTGCGAGTTACGAAAGTCGGGTTGCTAGTTACGAAGGTCGAGTTGCAAGTTACGAAGGTCGAGTTGCCAGTTACGAAAGTCAAGTTCCGAGTTACAAAAGTCGAATTGCGAGTTACAAAATTAAATTTGCGTGAAAAAGAGGAAAACTATTTTTTGGTGTACCTCTTTAACATTTTTGAATGATGATTGCTTATCGAATTGTATACAGTATTGTTGATTCTTTTTGTTGTTTGGACTTCATCTTAGTCTCGTATAAAAAAATGAATGGATTGCTTACATAATCACTACGCAAAGTATGGTTATTTTCTGAAGAAACATATATCCTTTTAAAATACAGCGGATGGCTTGTAGTTTAATTATCATTAAATCTCATAGCTAGCATCGTCATATTAAACGTAAAGGGAGATAGCAACTAGATTATAGTACATATATGTAAAAGACCCCTTCGGCAAATTTCGTTAAGAGTGGGCTCTTTGAGGCAGCTGCAGAGACAATATTTGTTAGGGACCCCAAAATTTATTCTTTGGCAGTGACACTCAATATTGTGGACGTTTAAGTTATATATGTCTATATTGGCTAGAGGTGAAAGGGGAAGGGTTGAGCGCTCATAAAACCTGTTTAACCCCGCCGCATTTTTGCGTCTGTCCTAAGTCATGAGGAACCTCTAGCCTTTGTTGGTCTTGTATATTTTTTAATTTTGGTTCATCTATATGTTTCGGAGCATAGAATGGCGTCCATTTTCTTTATCTAGTGTACATTGTGTGTCGGGGCCTGCTCGGGGCTGCCTCTGGGTGTGGGATTTCTCGCTGTGATGAAGACCCATTGTGGCCTTGGGTTGACTTGTATATTTTGGTTGGGGTTTTGTCTCTTTGACACATTCCCTGTTTCCATTCTTTATTCTATACATGTAGCTGTCAAAGAAACTTTTGTAGAAGACAAAAAAGACGCAGTTTTGGAATATGTAACTTCTTTCTAAAAAACGGGTTAATCATACCTAAATCAATGCTAACTCTTTTACCTTTTTTTTTGACACGAAACTCATTGTGCAGTAGGTGGGAAATTGATTAAATAACGTTTGAATTGTCTGTATAAAACGTCAAAACATTTTTACATCAATATGAAAAAAGTGCAGTTTTAGAGAGTTGTTAGTTATTTGAAAAGTACAACTAATGCCATACTTTACCCGGGTAAAACTTTTTTCAGGTGCTCTCGTGACAGGCTATGCATGATATTAAAATGAAAAGGAAGCACAGTTTTTTTTTAGAAAAATGAACAATACCCAGCTGATATCTGAAACTTCAACATTTGTATCAAGGCTGCATGCAGGTAAACAAGTAAACTTGTGACAGACAGATCTTCTTGCTCATATCGTAAAAATACACGCCATAACATTCCTTAAAACTGTTCCTTTATTTTTTGTAACAGCGGTATAGCTTATTGTAGAATAACGTCTTTCAAAAAAAAAATCCATATTATGATCTATGTCAGGAAGTTACCATAATGCCATAGAAAAACATCTATAGCATGCTTATTTTTGCGTTGTAGTATTCAGATATACATACACTGAACAATTCGATTATTAACTATTTGGTATATATATGCACTCTCCGCTTGGGATTGAATCACAAAAGTTAACAAAGTTCAAAATTATTTGATTTATCACATAAAGCACATAGCATATCACATTTCTGACTAATTCATGAGATATTTTCCTAAGTTAAATGTAAAAGTGTGCCTATATCACCCTAAACCTTTGCGAAAGACGGAGAGTTAGCACTTGGTATGTTAATCAATATTCTTTGTTTGAGCGTCACTGATGAGTCTTGTATAGACGAAACGCGCGTCTGACGTAGAAAATAATATAAGCCTTGTATGATTGATAAGTATTTATTTTAGGCCTGACACAGTGCCATATTCTGTGAGATGTCGATAATTTGCAAGTATATTTCATTTGTCTACATGATTTATTTTCTTATGCTTGATTTGTTCAGTACGGTATACATTTTGTCTTATATCTACAGTATATCCTGTTTTATTTTAGAACAATGTCGCTCTCATGAAAGAAATTTAAGCGTGCGTGACTTTGCAACATATAGACTCTTATAAATAAGTATCACATAACTCTTTCAATTCCTGCAATCAAAATACCGGGACCCTTCCTCATGCAGTGTATAACTAATGTCGGGTACATGTATGCTTTGTTTATGAAATGCGAAGTAAACCTGTAAATTCTGTTTAAAAAATCAGACGACACGACCGTTTATATATACGACCGTTTATATATCTATATAATTCTAAAGGAATTAGAGAAACATAATATTTTTGTAACTTGCAACTAGACCTTCGTAACTCGCATCTCGACCTTCGCAACTCGCAACTCGACTTTCGTACCTCGCAACTCGACTTTTGTAACTCGCAACTCGGCCTTTTCAACTCGCAACTTGCAACTCGACGATAAGAAACTCTCCATATAAATAGTTGTACATTTTCTGCAATGAATTTATTGAATAAGCACAAGTGTCGCCCGTGGAAAATATTTTCAGGTAATGTTGTTAAAAGTTTGTGAGAGTTTCAAATAACTAACACGACGAAGGCGTACAAAAACAATTAACATTCATAAAAAACAATCTGATAAATAATTCAAAATTTGTTTGATATAAATAAATAAAGAGAAAGATAAATAAATATAACAATAAATATGTATTAAAACACACAATAAAGATGCATGCATGCCGCATGTCATGAAAGGGCAGACCAGAGCACAAAAAAGACGAAGAGACAAACAACTTTTAATCTTTTTAAGTATGTATTTTAAGTAAAAATTATTTAGCCTTTGTTGAAGTCTTTTGGAATTATTTGCTGTAGAATGACGTTCTTTTGACATGGTGTTTACGAAGAATTATCCTTTTTTGTCATATTTGCTACACAATACTTTTTAGACTCATACCACCTATTTTTTGTCTTGTTTATTCTTTAGTCTCTTTACCCTCTTTTTCGATCAATTTCTTTTCCTTCTTTTTATTTTTCGCTGCTTTCTTTAGTTTGTTTTTCACGTCTTTTGCAATTTTCTTTTCCTTCTGATTTGCTCCTTTCGCAGAACCATTTCTCGAATCTTTCTGCTGTAGTTTCCCTATAACAACATTTGTAACAAGGCTGCCACCTTTGCCACCTGGACCTGGTCCACCACCGCCACCTCCACCACCACCCTTAATGTTAAGACTAACTCCATGTAGAGGGCCTTCAGATCCTGAAGTAATGGCCTTGGACCCTTTTCTATGCTCAGTCTGAATTTTCTTGATTAACAAGTTTGTAATTATACCACCTCCATCACCACCTTTTCCAATCCCACCTCCACCACCGCCACCTCCTCCGTCAATAATTAAATTAAGTAATGTTAGTTTACGGCCATCGCCTGTTTTTATTAGTGTTTTTGATCCCTCACTTGTATGAATCGTCCTTATTTTCTTGATAACGAAATTAGTCGTAATATTTCCACCATCTCCACTTGGAGTGATTCTCCCGCTCCCACCATTCCCGCCTCCTGTAATATTCAAACTGTAGTTTCCATTAATATCAGCAAGGTTTACTTCTTTAGCATTACTGATAGCTTTTTCAAAATCTCTTTCCAATGGTTGAACCTTTCCTTTAACTTTCTTTTCCGTGTCTTTTTCCCGAGTTTCTACGGTTTGATTGTCTTCTACTTTTCCTGCTGAACAATTGTCATCAAAGACAAGTAACAAAAGCAGGACGACATAAATAATTGAGATGTTCATCTTTTCTAAAAGAATAATAAAAACAAATATAAATCAATTGTTTTAAAAACATTTTAAAACGGTCTTTCCCCTCCAAAACATGATTGATTGATTGATTGGTTGATTGGTTGATTAGTTTGTTTGTTTGATTGGTTGACCGAATAAACACATTGAACCGAGCCTCTGGGAATATGTCAAAGTTGCCGTTTGGCATATTCCCGTTAAATCCATGTGCTTATATGGATCAGCAGGTCAAGGTTGATCTTATCGTGCATTCTTATTACAAAAAAATATACATCATGATCCTTGTATGCAGTTGCCAATATGGACGGGTATAAGGCGGACGACATTTTGAGTCAGGCGTTTGAATTGGTAGAAGAGACTAAAGATGAGGCAATATTTATGACCTAAAGTACTTACAGGTATCAGTTTAATTAAGGTAATCATAAATGTATTTTATATGTCACGGATGGATTTATTGAAAAAAGCCCCCCCCCTTCTCAACATTAAACAAACATTCATATTCGAACATACTGAGGGATAGGTGTGTCTGAATTAGAAACCCGACGACCGGACACGCTTAACATACAAAAATACAGATTGCATATTTAGGAACCCCCTTTTTGGGGGGCCATCCAGGGGGAGGGGGGTTCAGGGGGTTCGAACCCCCTTTTTTACGATCAATGCTTTATAATAAAGACATATGACTGGACCCCCCTCCCCCTTTTATCCTGGGTTGGCACCCCCTTTTAAAAATGGCTGGATCCGCCCCTGGGTGCTATCATTAATTAGTTTTCAACAATCCAAACATTAATATTTATTTTATGATTAAGACTTAGTCAAAACGAAAACTATATGTTTTTAATGTATAATTCAAATAAAAGTTCTTTACATGTATGTTCTTTACGACATTGCCATATGGGATCAAAAATTTTAATTTCAAGCAAAGGAGTATTTAAATGATTTTTTTTTATTCAAAATAATATTTTTTTCGTTACGGGAATTTCCTGTAATGTGTTTATTTAATATGTCTTGAAACAACTTGTAGTGAACACTATTAGTAATCTCTTATGTTCATGCTAATAAAAAACCCAATTTCTGTTGTTATGAATAACAATGGACTGTTTCCAGAAACCCCGCTCGTCACACCCTGTGGTCAAAATCCATTGTTATTCGTTACAATAGATCTATTCAATATACACTTGTTTCAGAAATAGAAACAATGAAGTATAACAATAGAACTGGGGTGTAATGCTATTGTTATAGTACTTTAACAAAACGTGTATCGATTAATTTCAGAAAATACATGAATTGGAGCAGATTTTTGCAGGGATGGATTTCTATTTCGAAAGTTTGTACACAAGAAGGATGGCATTTTTACAGTAAAATTTACGGGCGATTTTCAATTCATAGAAATGGGATTCCTAAAAAAAAATTTCTGAGGATGTAACGAATAATTCAGAAAAAAAATTGTCTTTATCTTTTTAGGCTACTGAGGAGATACACAAATAAGAAAAACGGTGTTTGGGGAGATAACTCTTACAAAAATTACACGCAAGAAACAAATTTGGCGGAAGAAGAAAAAAAAGTAATAATGATAACCAAATGAGTCGACAAGGAAAGCGTCTCCTGTTAAATGCCACCATCGGGATAAGGACACAATAGATAAAATTACAGATCGCACACTTTTCTTGTATCTAAAGATCTCAGACCGCGAAAACACATGAAATGCACTTGCAGACACCTTTTTGTATAATTTCAGCCCTTTTGTACATGATAGGCGGTTATATGTTTTAATTTAAACATCTGTGGGCTGTCATCCTACAATTGTTGTTGCTTTTTGGCCTTGTAATTTCAAAAAAACATGATTGATAAATTAATAACATGATTAAATGTAACCACTCTACTACAGACATGTGATATTACTGTGATGTTATAAACAGTAGAGGTTGACAAATCTGACTTAAAAAGACAATTTAATGCAGTTTTAATACAACTGAATATGAACTAGATATTAACCCACAAAATATACTTCACTAAAGACTACATCTTTTAGCATCGTTATGGGGGGTTTGAGGGGGGGGGGGGGGGGGGGGGGATGGAGGGGTTGTAAGACTGTTGCTCGTTTCTTAAATATTTTAATGACGACATTTCAATTGAGTCGTTGTTGGCAGCAGGTTATTCAGTTTTTCCTTACGTTTGAAGAGGGACGAAAGATACCAGAGGGACAGTCAAACTAATAGATCGAAAACAAACTGAAGGTTTACATTAAAAGTGCAATACACAAGTAAAAAAACCAACATTCAACACTCGGACAGATTAGGTCTTTTGAACACCTACAAAATATAACGTGATAGATTTATAATAGTTTTGGATTTACGTAAAAGTAAGCCCCTCTTATAGTTTTTTTAAAGCCTGGTATCTACGATGAGTATATTTACAATATTTTATGAAAAAGCAAGAAAACCATAATGAGAACCACTATTTTTTTTATGCTTAAAGTTATACGATACAGAAAAAGAAAGCTCGTTGATTTTTCCTTCAGATTTTGACATAAAGTCAATTTTGATATGCACTAACGAAAGATGCAGAGGAATTATACTTCCGTGGCTTACTTTTCAGGTTTGAACTTGTAATATGAATGCTTTATGTAAAACTCAAAATGTTCAATACTTTTCGATAAATAACACAACTTTTAAACACAAAGAGATATTTTCACCCGTTTGCTTTTGCAAAGTGTTTCTTGTTCATAGGAATTTAAGTAAGTCCCTCAAATGAAGGCTGAATGCAGATACACATTTTTTGTGAAATCATGCAATTATTGGTAATAAAAACCGTAGAAATTTTCTTGCCAATACAAATGCATACAAAAAAAAAATCAACCATTGATTTTTTTTCTCGCAATTACGATATGGCAATCTTGAAGCAGAAGAAAATGGGGGTCCATATGCAATATTTGTTTAGCTAGAAATGATGGCAAACCCGTTTTCCTTTTTGGAGCTAAATAACGTCGCAGTGCATTCTTCATGCAACATCGTCGTGCGGTAAATCCCACCGTACATCAAAACGCTTTACCAATTACTGTCATACTCGAATTTGTTGATGATAGAAAACTAAACAGTCTTCGCCTCGAATTTGTTGATGATAGAAAAGTAAACAATCTTCGCCTCGAATTTGTTGATAATAGAAAAGTAAACAATCTTCGCCTCGAATTTGTTGATAATAGAAAAGTAAACAATCTTCGCCTCGAATTTGTTGATGATAGAAAAGTAAACAGTCTTCGCCTCGAATTAGTTGATAATAGAAAAGTAAACAGTCTTCGCCTCGAATTTGTTGGTAATAGAAAAGTAAACAGTCTTCACCTCGAATTTGTTAATAATAGAAAAGTAAACAGTCTTCGCCTCGAATTTGTTGGTAATAGAAAAGTAAACAGTCTTCGCCTCGAATTTGTTGATAATAGAAAAGTAAACAGTCTTCGCCTCGAATTTAATGCCCTTGCAGTAGATTTCGAGTGCTTAACTATATCTTATCTTTGTTTTCCTTTGTAAATTCAAATCCACGTAACCGAATCGATTTTCAATGAATTTCGGATGCTCATCATTAGCAGAATTGCGAAAATCATTTTTTGAAAACTGTATTTTGAATGTAGATGTATTTTCCAATTTCAAGAACAATCTATCTCTGTAAATGTCACTGTCCATATATAATAATTTCTCAAAAAATCTAAAGCAAAATTTTCTTTCGATGAAGTTATCATAATATATATTTCGAAAAAAAAAAAAATTATAGTATAGTCTCTTAACATTTCTCGTTTAAATCCAATTCACACAAAAAGAAAAAGAGCAGGAATATCATCAAGTTGCGCATTTAATGAAATGGTAAATGAATGGCTGAATTCATTCAGTAAAACAATAGTGTGTGTATGAGTATTCAAATTCCTTCAATAAAACAATAGTGTGTGTATGAGTATTCAAATTCCTTCAATAAAACAATAGTGTGTGTATGAGTATTCAAATTCCTTCAATAAAGCAGTAATGTTTGTATGTATTTTCGAATTCATCTAATCAAACAAATAAGCTTCGAAACTGATTCCAAATTAGTGTAATTACTTACCTTTATAAATTTTATTCCAGCAAAAAACAATTGAATATTCCTTATATACTAAATTTTAGATACACGTGGTATATCCTTGTTTATTATAAAATTATAAATTATGACTTTACACAACAAGAGAACTGCTTTTCATGTTAACCTAACTTTGGTCTTAGGACCGGTCGGAACAGTAAACAAATCTTTCAGTAGGTAATTGTTATCAGCCAAAAAGTCTGGTCATCAAATTAACTTGATGTACAGGTTAAGACCACACCAATCTGTAAGTTGTAAAACATTTCCCTAACAAAGGAGTAAAACAAGTGAATAATTAAGGAGAACAAGTGGTACATGATGCAATCTGAAATTATCAATGGAAGTTACAGTGTAATAAGGGGATTCCTGTTTTAAAGAAGAGAAAATGTCAAAGGGTCAATCATAAATCACAAATGAAATGGACAAATAAAAAGAGAGACGAAAAATGGCCAGCCAACAGTACATACAGACTTTTCATATAAGAAAAATGATTTAATTATAATATGAAAATGGACTTTTGAACTAGATTTCAGTAACTGCGAATACTCACTGAATTTGAACTTGCAATGATCAACTTGCCGTTTGCCACATGCAGAGCAAAGTGCCAGATTCAGGGAGGACTAAGAATTAACAAATATGATTATATATGCTTATGTGCCGGTCCAATGTGAGGAGTTTGTAATACAGTAGAAGTCGTTGGTTTGCTATCAGTCCCATAAGATTTCGTTTATTGTTTAACAGAAATAATTTTATCATTAATGGACATTGTCTCATTGGTAATCATATCACACCTTTGTCTCACTGGTAATCATATCACACCTTCTTATTTTTACAGACAGTAACAAAATTGCAAAGCAGAACAATAAAGTGTGGATACCTATGAATCATATCATTAATACGGTCATTTCCTGAAATTCGCTTTATCAAAGGACGTGGACAAAATGTATTTACAGGAATCATTGTCGAATATTACACACGGGTTGTAAACTAGATGATCAATATGTAAAGGAAACAGTGTTTTAAATTTTTAGTCTTGAGAAATGGTAGTAAAAGTTCTTTTCGTTCCAAAAGTAAACCTCGGCTGATTTGAAACTCACTGACATGAGTTTTTAGAATTATAGTTGAAATACTAATGATTTTTGTTCTACGTTTATGTTTCGGGAATGACATTATGGCAGCAAAAATGTGCTTGCTTTAAAATTAAATGTAGTTTTATCTTAACAATTAACGTCTTGACAATTAATTATTATTACAGTTATTGTTTTATTGAAAGTCTGAATACAGGTAATTATGACAAGCTGCAAAGATCACAATGACACTCCTTATAACGATAAAAGAGGGACGAAAGATACCAGAGGGACAGTCAAACTCATAGATCGAAAACAAACTGACAACGTCATGGCCAAAAATAAAAAGACAAACAAACAAATAATAGTACAGATGACACAACATAGAAAACTAAAGACTAAGCAACACGAACCCCACCAAAAACTGGGGGTGATCTCAGGTGCTCTGGAAGGGTAAGCAGATCCTGCTCCACATGTGGCACCCGTCGAGTTGCTTATGTTATTACAAATCCGGTAAATAGTCTAATTCGGTAAGTCACATTCGTGAAAAGGGAAGGGTATTGTAGTTACGACATAAGGAACATATCCGATATCATCTGTGAAACGGTTATTCCATAACGGTCAACCAAAAAACTTTAAACTACTGCTAACATCAAGAAAATTTAACACACAATGTATAACTTTCAAAAAGAAAAGAGTCTTTCAAATAAAAAAATATAAACGTCTTCATGCCTGTCTTTCATGCTGAAAAAAAACCACGGTAATATTAACCTTAGTACTCCTACGTGTATATAGAGATACAATACCTGCTTATAAATTTTCCTTTGTAGCAAATTTGTCAGAAAATCTGTTACCCATTTAAAAATTCGTCAAATAATGTTGACGGTTTGTTTCAGATTAAACAAAATATTTTTTAAGATTTAACAAATGTTTAATCATTCCAAAGTCGTGTCTAGTAAGGCGTTCCATTATGAAACAAATATATAAATAAATAAATGAAATATAACTAAACTGTTTCATCCATGTACATATGTACAAGCATATGAAGGCGATCAAATATAACTACATAAAAAGCAATAAAAATAAGCATATGCCAAATGTCAAAGAATAACAGCCAATGTGACAGCACAGAGCCAAATTACAAACAATAACACAAAACATGACACAGAAAAATAGAGTTTCAACTTTTCCCAATAGAATCTAGGTTACAGTCGACTTATCATAAAAATTAAACCTAAGGCTTTACACTTATGAACAATAGCAAATATGATCATCAACTGGAAATATGTTCTTATAAAGAATCATTTTGCTCCAATAGTTAAGTTACAAATAAATTTATGTACAGTTGTGATTTCATATTTAGACAAATTGATTTTTATTATGAAGCCGCTGACATTGCAGCTGCTATAAGAACAAAATACGAACAATTCGTATCAAAATAGTTTTTAAATTTAGTAGAGGTAAAGCAGTTTTGTCCTCATTTTTGGATTGATCTTTTAATTTGCATATTTTTATTCAGTCTTTATTTTCGGCATAAAATGTTCCTTTTAAGCCTTTTTTGAAGTCATATGGATTTTTCCCATGAAAGGATAAAGCCCTTTTTCATAGTGTTCACGAGAAAAAATTATTTTTGACATTTTTGCTTCACAATACTATCTAGATAATGTCTAAATCCCATCTTTTTTTCTGTTATTCCTTTGTCTCCTTAACATCTTTCTCAATTTCCGTTCCTTCTTATTTTTTCTTTTCCTAGTACCATTTTTCGTTACTGTTTTAGCTTTTCCTATGACAATATTTGTAACCAAATCACCACCATCGCCACCTTGACCTGGTCCGCCGCCTCCACCACCGCCACCGCCATTAATGTTCAGACTGAGTCCACTTAGAGGGTTTTGAACTTCAACAGTAGTTTTATTTGCTCCATTTCTAAAAACAGTCTTTAATTTGTTGATGGTCAAGTTTGTAAATATACTTCCTCCATCTCCACCTTTTCCTACCCCACCTCCACCCCCGCCACCTCCTCCGTCAATAATTAATTTAAGTGCTTCTAATGTTCGTCCATTACCAGACTTAATTTTTATTTTTGTTCCTTCACTAGTATGAATTGTCTTGATTTTCTTGATAAACAAATTAGTAGTAAGATTACCACCATTTCCGCCTGGATCAATTCCTCCTCCTCCACCACCTCCGCCTCCTGTAATATTCATATTGATGTTTCTGTCAATATTAGAAAGGTTCACTTCTTCAGTATTGCTAAGAGTTTTCAACGTTTGACTTTTTTGTATTGCTTTCTTTCCAAATCTTCTTCCAAAAGTTCTAGATCGTGGTCTATGTCTTGAAAGTCTTCCGTGTCTTCTGTGATAATTATATCCATAGGATCTATGCCCTGAACAGTTTTCATAAAGAATAAGGATCAAAATCACACCGATGTAAATTATTGAGATGTTCATCTTTTCTGCAAGAAGAATAGGATACAACTAAATAAATATTTTTGTTAGGATCTTTTTTTTATTATTATTAAAAAGATGGATAAACATTTTTATGGCCTTTTTCGTTCTTTTTTTCATTTTTTGCCATGGTATTGGCGGTTTGTATTCGATCTATGTTTTTCTTATGTCCCTTTTGATATTTGTCGCCTATTTTCCCTAAAATATACATAAAATATGAACATAATTGTTAAATTTTACCCCAATATATATATTTTTTTTAAAATAAGTACGTTGACCTATTTTTTATTTAAATAATGTAAATTAGTTTAATTCTCTTGCGAAAATTGTGTAAAATGTTGATGGCGACATTATTTGAACATAAAACATATTGAAGCAACCAAAGTAGGCAAATTAGGGCGCGTGACGTTTGCGCGTTTAGATAGGATTTATGCGCTTTTTAATGGACATTTGCGCTTTAACGTCAAGGACATTTTTTCTTTTTTCTATTAGACATTTGTGCTTTATCCCCATAACATTCGAGTTATGATTGAAAGATTAGAAATAATTTAATATTCAAAATTTAGCACATTCTTATATTTATATACAGCTAAAAGTTATCGTTCGGTTTCTTTTGTTGTTAGGTTACTTTCCCATTGACCAATACTGAAAAAAACCATTAACGATACCCAAATTCTTTTGATGGAAAAAGTGAATTAATTTCAATTATATATATTATATCATATATTAGTTAGAAAATGAAAAGAAAAAAAGTAACAGCTTTTATTTGAAAAACTCAAGTATCTCTTATAAATATTATGCGAAATAAAACATATCTTTGTGCACAGTAGATAATTTATTGTTTGTATGAATGGTCAAATTTTATTAATAAGCAAATTAATTTTTGATATTGTTTCTTTTTTTTTTACAATAGACAATACTTTATTATTAAACCTCAGACACATAGGTGTACAAGAGGACATCATATATATTCATAAACACAATTGAATAATCAATACACTTACACTAAACATATTAATGAATGTATGGTAAACTACAGCAAAATGCCAATTTACAAATTACCATAACATTCAACACAAAGAAGTATAACGTACCTGTACAGGTTTGTTTGCCATCAAGAACAAAACAATGTTTGTAACAAATGCACTATATCTTATAAGTATCTTTAAATACATGTGCACATGGTGTATCCTTGTTTACTTTAAAATGACAAATTGAGACTACAAGTTACAAAGGAATTTCATGAGAGCATTGACTTTAATGTATTTGCATCGCTATATTCCAATAACATCTATAAAATGGTTGCATGATTCACAAAAAGGAGTTAAAAAAGAATGGTTAGAAATATTAAATGAATGCTCTTTCCCCCCAAAAAAAGAAAGAAGAAGGATATGACTGTAAAGTACAATTGAATGTTTATAAGAAAGTGATTCAGAAATGGTTCATAAAAGACAAATACATAAAGCAAAAGCAATCAATCGGTCAGCAAAGAATACATTATTTCAAAAACTTACAATAAATGTTATTAAGTGATTTACGAAGTAGGAGAATTTGGGGAGATAAAATATTCCTACGAGTCATAGACACCAACTTAGAGGGAGCAGTATTAGATAAGAGAAGACAGTGTTATGAGGGAATGCCTGTGTAAAATAACAAAATTTTAAAGGGTAAACCGAGACTCTTACATGGTATTGTAACATGAGGCAAATTATCGTAATTAATATGATGAGCACAATATTTTTATATGCAAAACAGTAGGAGTGAAATTGACCTTTATCTTTAATTGTCTTTTAGAATTGAAAAGAAGTAGTTATAAACCACAGGTGTATATTGGAAAATGTGTGCATGGGGACAAGTAAATTTTTGATGATACATTGGCTCTCAATAATGACGACTTCATTATGTACACTAAAGAGATTTATCCTGCTAAACTGATTTTAAATAAAGCTAATACTAACAATGAACACTGCCCGTTCCTGGATCTTGATATCTATATCTTTAACGGGAAGCTTAATACCAAAATTTATGATAAAAGAGATGATTTTTCATTTCCTATTGTTAATTATCCATTTTTAGATGGTGACGTTCCCTTGTCACCACCTTATGGTGTTTATATATCTCAACTTGTTCGATTCGCTCGTGTATGTAACAACGTATTTGATTTTAACGAAAGAAACCTCTTTATTACTGAAAAATTATTACACTACGGTTTTCGATATCACAAACTAGTAAAAAAAATCACTAAAATTTATCATCGGTACAAGGAAATCATTCGTAAATATAAATCAACATTCAGACATCTTATACGTGCAGGTATTTTACATCCAATCTTTTATGGTAATATTTTATACAAAGCACACAAATGTCGACATTCACCTCAAAAGCTAACCAAATCTTTAAACAGACTTATTCAGAAGGGATATAGTTACGATACTGTTGTCAGGTCATTAAAGATGACATATTTTGGTATTAATATTGATTCACTCATAGGGTCTTTGCATCGGAAATAAACACATTTATTCTAAAACCAGTTGTTGGCATGATACTATTTTCTTCTCATATATTTTATGATGGTATGATACTAAACCAATAACGGGAGGGATTGTGCTTGATTTTCATATGATGAAGACATAATCTTTCAACCAGTTTAATTGAGGTCTGGAGATGGGATGTCAGTAACTGCTAGTAGTCCTTTGTTTATTTATGTATCATTGTCATTTTGCTTAGTTTCTTTTGTTACCTATTCTGACATCGGACTCGGACTTCTTTTAAACTGAGGCTTACCGTGCGTATTGCTGTGTGTTTGTTATTCTACATTGGCTAGATGTATTAGGGATCTCACAAAACATGTTTAACCCGGCCGCATTTTTGCGCCTCTCCCAAGTCAGGATCCTCTGGCCTTTGTTAGTCTTGTATGTTTTTTTTAAATTTAGTTCATTTATATATTTATGGAGTTTAGTGTGACGTCCATTTTCATTGAACTAGTACACATTTTTGTTTAGGGGCCAGCTGAAGCCCGCCTCCGGGTGCGAGATTTTCTCGCAGTGTTGAAGACCCATTGGTGGCCTTCGGCTGTTTTCTGGTCTATGGTCGGTTTGTTGTCTCTTTGACATATTCCCCATTTCCATTCTCAATTTTATTTCAGAATATGTAACAGTTTTTCAAGAAGTTATTGAGGACTCAAGAATAACTAACGGATTAAACCCTTTCATTTGATCATACATAGGATTTACTATAAAAAAAATCTGCTATATATTTCTTTCTAAAAATATGATCTTAGTTTGGTGACAAATACGGAAATAAAGGGAATAAGAAATAAAGAAATTCTACCCATTTCGATCTAGTATTACATAATATACAATAAATCTCTTCCCTAGGAGAGTTTATCCATCACTCATCCGAATAAGCAACTCATGTTTGAAATGTAGTTTTTTTTCTTTCAGTGATTAAACTTAATAATTTACCTATTTCCAAAATGGTTAGATTTCAGGAGTTTTTTTCTTCATAACTTTATTTTCCTATATCACACAGAGCTAGAATATTTGCTGAACATTCCACCTATTATGTTCTAATAAATTGTTATGCCTTCTTGTTGAGGGACGTAATAATTATATTTATTTTACGAAGAAAGTTATCTGTAGTGACTCTTTATATCAGTGTTAGCTGTTATTGACTAAGTGCGATAATGTTAGCATTTAGTAGCGGTTTGCATAGTTTTGATCTTATTTTTACATATATTATTTCTTTTATGGTAGGACAATACAGTGTGGATACTAATGTAGCATAATTATTTCCAGAAAAGAAAATGATAAATTCCGATTGCCACATGATCTGAAGTTCAAACTGAAATATTGTCGAATTTTATATGTACACAGGGTGTAAACTCGACGGCCAGTGTTTCCAGGAAACAGTTTTTTATATAGTTGGAAGTCGAAATATATGACGCAATAAATAGTCCACGTTTTAATGCAAAATACGTAGATTTGGTAAATTTATATATGTTTTTGGACCTCTATTGTTTCTCTATAGAATCTCCCCTCTCAATTAAAAAAAACCCAGCTTTTTATGTACCTGCGTTTCATGGAGAAAACAAACCTCCGTGTTTCAAAAGATTTTAAACAAATAAATGAACAGTCGATTTACAGGAAACTACCTTATCAATATTTCGTGCCATCACAAAGAACTGACTACTGTGCTGCAATACCTACCGGAAAAAAACACCAATCAGCAATGGGATCTATAGTACTAAATGTAACCGACAGCAGCCGAAACCAACACTTCCTGAAAAATTCTTGCCAAATAGCTACCTTCATGTTTAGCGCAGTACGATTGTAGTCTATACCATATAAGCCTTGTCTCGAGTAAATGTGTCAGTAAAAAGACCTTTGCTTCACATTGCAGTACCCATACGTTTTGCTATTTATTTTAGATAAAATGGAGAATGGAAAGAATGTTTTCAAAACCCGCCACTGAGTGATGCCTAATCACTTAACATAAATTATCAACGTATTTAATGTGAATAACATGACGGGTGTCAAATGTAGAGCAGGATCTGCTAACCTTTCAGGAGCACCTGTGACCACCACTGCACTGTAAATAAAAGTGTTAAGAATCTGAACACTTCTTGAACGCTCTTTTGTAACACTTCTGAAACGCGTAACAGTGTTCTAAATATTGACATTAGTGTTCCAATTTTCAACATCGTTTGTGTATCTTTCGAACACTATGTGTGTACTTCTTGAACATTTGATGTATACGCCTGAACGCTAGAGTGTTTGATTCTGGAACATGTCCTTGTGAGCAAAATTGTACACCGTTAATCACGCGTTCCAAGCCATGTAACACTTCTGGAACACTCGGACTGTGTTTTAGAAATATGTGTTAATATCCTGAACGCATAGTGTGTACTACTGAAACACATTTTTACATGTTCCAGAAAAAAATGTTCCATTCTCTGAAACATTTTTTGTGGTCAAATAAAATAAAATTGAATAATTAAATTTTTTTTAATAGACTAAAAGAGTCAAAATTCAAAAAAGGACAATACAATGAGAAACACTTCAAAATTACAAGTTAGACAAGTTAGAAATATAACATTCGAAATACATTATGAACAAATTGTCAAAATGTGTCCAAATTTATACATAGTGCAGATCCTCTTCTGTCAATACATGCATAAATTTTATCAACACAGTTTAACTAATCGTTTTCTGCCTCTGTCAAGCACTGCCCTGAATTTCTTTACAAAAAAATTAAACTTCATGGAGGACTCAGATGTACATGACTCATTCATCACTCATATTTTCCATAATCCACTGCCTGCATATCACTTCAGATAGTCAAAATCCAACCAAAAAATACCCTGTAGTTTGCTAGTTATTGAATCGGTGCTGATGTAACACTGCTCCAGGCATTGAACAAAATTTGAGTCGCCAATAACTGTACATGTTTTTGAGCTTCCATTTTGAAAATCACAGGGTGAGGTGGGTTATAACTACTACTTGATCTTACTATCAACCGTATGTTCTGCAATGTAAAATAAACAGTGTATGCGTAAATAATACATTGTATCATGTCGATATTGCTAAAGAATTATAAATTCTAATTTTTTTGGCAATTCCATTTAATTCGTCATCATTATTAGAGAAGATTATTTTTTGAAAATGTGCAATATTATTTGAGAAGTTGTTACAGATGCATTTTTACTGTTTTTTACTGTTTAATTGTTAAAGGGTGGACTATTTTCAAGTAAGAAGCTCTCCGATTCCATAATGTATAGCTTTCAAACAAAGCCAGTTTACAGCAAATACTTATGATTGTTTTAGACAACATTATGTCTTTAGACAAGTTTAAAGACACTAAATTGACTGCAGATATCTCAAGAATATAACGACCATTTGCTAAATATATATGCTTGAAGTCATGAAGACCTCTTTGCAGAAAATGTTTAGGAATTTCATCATTTGAACTACAATAACGTTTATACAAATGTGCATCCTCAAAAGTGTGTGTAATCGCCAAACTGTTGATTTATATTCACACTATGTGATTTGTGTGGTTTTTTATAACTTTAAATGTTTCCCATCTGGCAGTTGTGAACGTGCATATACCAGTTGTGAAAGACACTAAGAAATCGGATCATTTTCGTGTATTCTCACAAAGTACCTGCTATTTCGTTGAAATGAATTGTGGCATAACAGTACGTTGCACACGACCTATATTGTTTACTTCCATTTCCTTCAATGTGTCTTGTCAGAGGAGGACATTTTTCATTGAAATCCTTAGACATGAAATAGTTAATCTCGTAATTTGTTATTAATATTGCAAAACATACCTATGAACTCAAGTTGTGACGCTTCTTCTTCATGTTCTATTCAAAACAAGCGTTCAAAAACCAACTTCCGGTAAAGTAATACGTCACGTCATATTATTTACGCGGACATTTTCGGAACACATGGTGTTCAAGGAAAAGCGTCAGTTGTAACGCGTCGTATTCGAGACCAGAACGCTTTTACATAGCAACGATTTCATTAGTATCAACTTATTCACATTGGTTAAAAAATAAATCCAAAGAACTTAAGCAGTTCAGAAAATGATATATATCCAATTTCGAACATTTCCAAGTTTCCAAATATGCCTCTGAGACATGATTCGAGGTTAATTTTTCTCATCTATAATTTGCTTATGTGGATGCAGCAAAAAGACATTTGTCGTCAATTTATGATTATAAACATCATTATTCATCGTCTGGTTGAGTCTTAAGCTATAAAATACTAGTTCTTTTCCCAATACAGTATTAGAACACTCAAGTGTTAAAATTCAGAACACTGTTGTTCCTGGACATGTGTTTTAAAAGACTGAACACAATGTGTTATATATTTTAACGCTGGTGTCGAATGGAGAACACTGGTGTTATAAACCGAACATATTGTTTTCAAAATTGGAACTCGTCCGGACGCGTCAGGCGTCCGAAAAATTTACAGTGTGCTTTTTGGTTGAGTTTGTGTTGCTCAGTCTTTATTTTTTTGTATTGTGTTATATAGTGTGTTGTTTGTCTTTTTGCTTTTTCATTGTTTTTCATTTTTTGCCATGGCGTGGTCAGCTTGACTTTCACTTACGAAGTTGATTATCTCTTTGGTATCTTCTGCCTCTCTCTTTTATAGATCATACCTTCAAATTGTAGGGATCTTTTGTTTTTGGCAAATTTTTAGGAATTTTGGTCCTCAATGCTCTTCAACTTTGTGCTTTATTTAGCTTTTTTAGTTTGTTTGAATTCGAGCGTCACTGATGAGTCTTTTGTAGACGAAACGCGCGTCTGATGTAAGTACAAAATTTAATCCTGGTATCTAAGATGAGATTAGTGTATTATGGCTTATATTTGTCTGATCGGCTTCTCATTTTCCGATAATCTATTTTATAAAAGTATGAAAAAATACATCGCTTTTTAACAGATGCAATATTTGCAATATTTCTACAGCATATTTCATTTCCATTTTCATTGCATTGAAAAACAATTGAATAACAGTTATAGCAGGAACCGCTATTCTAATTTCCTCATCTGTTTTTTTTTCTATCGTTGGAGCTGGTAGTTGTTCCCTCTATGGTGTTGGAAGGTAAAAGGTTTTCATGTATCCATGGAAGTTAGAAGATTAAAATTGACGTTTCAATAATAATTGAAGTTAGTTGATTACAACGTTTTTGGCCTCGAGCTTCTCTGAAGAGACATTGATTGTCGAAATGCGCATCTGGTGCAGAAAAATTGGTACCATTTATGTTATTACTACCACTGGGTCGATGCGTCTGCTGGTGTACTGATAGTCCCCGAGGGCATCACCATCCCAGTAGGCAGTACTTCGGTACTGGCATGAAAATACGGATTTTGTGTTATTAAAGTTTGCTGTTACCAAATTTTGGGCAAATACTCTATCGGAGCTTGTGCTTCAAAGCAAAACCCACATTGAGACAATGTGAAACCCTATAAGCATAGTTCCTTGTTCAAATAGGCATGATAGAAACGTGAAGACTAACAGAGGTTTTACATAATCTTTCTACAGTATTTTTATGTTTAGTTGTTAGTTGTTTTGCATCCACTTGCTGTTGAATAGTTGCATCCGCCTCAGTCAGTCAAACCTTAACTTAGAAGGATTTGACTACTCTAAGTTGTTTATATTAATAATGCTTCTCACACATTCGAGTATACATCCATGTCTTTCAAATTTTGGGTTTGAGCATTCCAAACGACGTTAATAAAACAAAGCGTTTCGGACGAACAAAAATTAAGTAGTTGTCGTTTGTTGCTGTGTTACATATTTGTTTTTCTTTCATTATTTTGTACATAAATTAGACCGTTAGTTTTCTCGTTTGAATTGTTTTACATTTGTCATTTCGGGGCCTTTTATAGCTGACTATGCGGTATGGTCTTTGCTCATTATTGAAGGCCGTACGGTGACCTATAGTTGTTAATTTCTGTGTCATTTGGTCTCTTGTGGAGAGTTGTCTCATTGGCAATCATACCGCATCTTCTTTTTTATATGTAGTGTTTAAAAAGAATCATAAAGTATTGATATTTGGATTAACCGTGTTTGTTAGCGCTCAATCCTCCGGATCCTCTACCATAGGAGAGTATTGAAATATAGTACAACATAAGAACAAACTGTAAAAACAGTGAAAGAAGTATACTCATCAGATCGGTACTAAAAAACAATTACAATAACTACAAAGGACACAAAGTACCGATCTAAGTGTATAGTGATTCAATAGCCCTTACGATCAAAATTGGTTTGTAACTCTAAATAAAACTAAAATGTAATCATGGATTATGCATAATTTCTTCTTTATAAAATTCATAAAACGGTTTGTTATCCCAAAACCAAAAACAAAAACTAAATACAACAAACGGCAACAAGCGGCAACAAACGACAACCACTGAATTACATGCTCCTGATTTTGAATAGACACACAAAAAAATGGTGTTGTTAAGTCTGACATTGTTAAAACAGTACAACATAAAAACAAAAAGGAAATGGCTTGACTCATCAGTTTGGCACGAAACACAGAAAACAACAAACATAAAAACAGAAGGAATGGAATACCTATCTAAGAGAACTGATATAAGTATAGTACTAGCATACTTTCGGATGAATTAAATCTGAATTATCAGTACAAATTATTCATGAATAGCCTTTGTTGACGTCATATGGAATTTTGTGACGTTGGATGAAGCCCTTTAATCGTGAATTTCACGTAGAATTATCATTGTCGTGTTTTCTTCACAATATTATTTAGTTAATCCCTATGTCCCATCTTTTCTCCTCTGTCTATTCTTTTGTCTCTTTAACATCTTTTGTAATTTCCATGCCTTTCTGTCTTCACTTGTCCAAGTTCCATTTAAAGTGACATCCTTTACATTCTCTATGACAATAGATGTAATCAAGTCACCACCATCGCCACCTGGACCTGGTCCACCTCCGCCACCGCCACCACCGCCTTTAATAATCAGACCGAGTCCTTCTAGAGGGTTTTGATCTTTAGCAGTAGTGATATTTATTCCATCTCTAAAAACAGTCTTAAATGTTTTGATGGTCAAGTTTGTAAATATACTTCCTCCATCACCACCCTTTCCTATTCCGCCCCCACCACCGCCACCTCCTCCTTCGATCATTAGTTTAAGCGCTTGTAATGTTCGTCCATCACCAGGCTTTATTATGACTTTTGTTCCTTCTTTAGTATGAACCGTTTTGATTTTCTTAATAAATAAATTAGTGATGATATTTCCACCATTTCCACCTGGTTCGATTCCACCTCCCCCACCACCTCCGCCTCCTTTGACATTTATATTGATGTTAACTTTGTCAGCATTGAATGGTTGACTTTGTTCTATGGCTTCCGTTCTAAACAGACTTTCCCAATCTCTACTGTATGATTGCGGTCTTTGTCTTGAAAGTCTTCCGTGTCCTCTGTAATAATTATCTCCATAGTAGCCTTGACATGAACATTTGTTAAAAATGCCAAGGACCAAAATCACCCCGATGTTAATTATTGAGATGTTCATCTTTTCTGCAAGAAAAATAGGAAAACACACAATAGTTTCTTACAAAACATATTATTTTGTTCAGTTTATGTTTTCGCTTTATAATTAGACGGATACAATCTTTTAAACAGTACGTGTATATCCAATCAAACTATTATTCTGGCAGCCATCTAAGATCAATAGATTCCGAATAAGTCTGTATTATATTTATGTTTAATTTGCAAAAAATAAGACAAAACTGAGAAGATACTTTTACTTCATCAAGAATTGGCTACCTTAAAACGTTTTTATCTTATTGTTAAAAACATTTTCTAGAAAATAATATTTTATCGACTTTTTCAACAATCATGAAATCATGAAATCATGAAATCCGTGATATTCCCGGAGAAATGTTTGTACACATATTGTGCATTTAAAATAAATCTTTGGATGACATCAAATCAACCAATGCTTTATGCATTTTGTAAAACAATATGAAACAAGAACAGGTATACACATTTTCTTGAACAATTTATTTGGTTGAAGTAACCTTATATTGTAGTTTAAATTGTATTTTACAAATATTATTTTGTATTTAATTTGTCTCATATCATTGACATCCATATTTGTCAAATATATATATATATATATATATATATATAAACAAGTCTAAAATTGAATATATATATATATATATATAATTATGAATAAGTCTAAATTGAAAACAACGTTCAAACCTATGATTGCGTTGGATAAAAACCGCAATTTTTATACGTTTCCATCCAAAACAAATTTCTTGGTAGAGGGGTCTAAATACAGCACAAACAACATTTTCCAAAAGACCAAAAAAGTGAAAAAGTATATTTAAACAAAACGCATTTGACTAACAGGTCGAACAACGGATGTTCTTAAACCCTGCTGACTGCGAACAACGGATGTTCTTAAACCCTGCTGACTGGCGTTGTTCGACCTGTTAGTCAAATGCGCTTTGTTTATATATATAATTATGTATACAGAATGTGTTTTCAGTCTTGTATTAACAACACTGGTGATCCGATGGATAAAATCTGTGTTAGAGTTGTCACTGGTTCAGACGTACTTATATATATATAAAATTTTAAATCAGATTGCAACAACGAAAAAAGCAAACATATCGTCATGCTGCACAAATGATAATACAAATTAACACTTAGTAATGTCTTGCGTCTAACTAGCTATTCTGGATTGACTTTCATCTGGTATCTTGTTTGAATGGTGATCTTCATTCAATAAAACAAATTTACATCGGTATTGTTTCAGAGTAGTATAACTTACCTTTAAAATGTGCTTCTTGCACAGAGCAATACACGTAGAATGTTGTAACTACTTAATTACATGTATACATATGGTGTATGTAACCTTGTGTATTTCAAAATGATAAATTATGACTATGAGCTAAAAAGAACTTTTTGAAATTTTTTTCAGAGTAAATTTATAATGCTATTATTCAACTGTTTCCTTGTGACGTTAATTATATTATACAAGAAGTAAAATATTATGGAATATTTTAAAACAGTAGCATAGTAAATGATGCTAACTTGAATTTTTGAATCAACCATAACAAAAAGTAAAATAACAAAAATACCGAACTCCAAGGAAAATTCAAAACGAAAAGTCCTTTATCAAATGGCAAAATCAATAGCTTATACACATCAAACGGATGGAACGCAACTATCTTATGTTCATAAGAGGGAAACAAGAAAAAAGCATGACAGTCATCAAACCATACGGAACACACATGAAAGTATAATAGTTAATATGTACTGAAAACAGTTTTTCGACTAATTTTAAACCATGAAAAATATTATTATTTTATTTTAAAACAAAATTTCGCTAGATTTCAAAATTCAAGACTCATTCACTCTCAGACATTATCACTGTTATAAGAAGCAACAAATTATAATGCATATAATCCAATGGTGAACGAACACGGAGGAACATTATCTATTGTGCTAGCTGCGGAACCGTAGCGCTTAGGTCTTTATGATATTTTTTGACTATTTGCGGACCATAGAGCTACGGATTTTTCCTATTTTAAAACGTTCTGAATTGCGACCTAGGTTCAGGTCGCACTTATTTCCCAAAAATTTATTGTTTATCGTCCGTGCATAGCTTGTCAATGTATATAGTTCGTTTCGTTAAATATTTTTTTATGATATGACGTACCTTTTTATGTTTGAATATGCATTTCCTTGACATTATCATTTAATCATTTCCTGTTGTATACATTCTCCGCCTATTTTGTTCATATTGAATCTCGTCATGACGTCACGAAAAACAAAAAAAGATTATATAAGAATAGAATTTCGTAAGTAATTTTTCAAAGAAATTAAGAAACACATAAAAAAGGATACAAATTATTGAGAAATGTGTATTAGGGTATTTTTTAGTGTATAATTCTCCCTTTCATTTAATTATAAAATAAACTCACCAAATATATCAGGCTTTTAATTCAATATACAACATACACGCGTTTCGTCTACAAAAGGTTCAACTGTGTTGCTTTAACCAAACAATTGAACAAGGCAATAAAAGACGAAATCCCCACATACGCAAAAAAAAGAAGGAAAGACACACGTTTTGTATTTGTAATCAGTGGAAATAAAATGCAAACTCAAACCTTTAAAACATTGTTACTAAATCTGTTCTGAATAAACTGATCACAGCATATTTTTGGAATGAAATATTATATATATAGCTGTCAAACGACTATGACTGTTCCGCCATTCCATATACGAAATAACGCCGACGAAATATCGGAAGAAAGGCTTATTAAAATAAAGTAAAGTATGACTAAGTAGAGAGTCCAAACATACCGAACAGAAAATGGATAGAAATACGTTACAGAAATGGTATCACAAAGTGCTCTGAAGCCTTTAACATTGATGATCCAGGATTCACACTTAGATTTCCTTCTTGTATAGACCAAAGATTGATTGGAGATCGTCCGCCAACTACAGAAACATTTTATCAACAGCTACACAGAACAAAGATGAAGGCTAGAAGATCGGGGGTTAAATCATATCGTACATAGTACGCTTACCTTACCAGGGATCCACAAGTTAAAAGCCATCGACCACCATCGCAACCACCACAATGAACGTTCCATACATACATTGTACCCTAAGCCTACACTATTCATTACTGTCTTAAAGCATCGATTTTTATGGATGACATATATTTAGATAAGTATATTATACAATAGTTAACATGACATGCCCGACAATTTCTTATTAACCAATACCTATCAATGGATAAATCTAGATTTTATTTTGATATTTTAAGGATATTGACCTATTTCACCATAGACTAGGAAGCTTAACGTATATGTACTTACAAAAATACAAAAATTAAAGCTGTATTTTTCTATCGTATTATTATTTTAACCTGTTCTCGATTCGATTCTAATCATATTTGAATCTTTCACATGTTTAAAAACGAGCGAATCTGTCCCGACAGCATCCCGATTCTACCGAATGTGATCCGACAGAGATCAGACAGTGACCAGACAGTGTACCGACGCTGACGGAAGATATCCGTTAGATAATCGTCGCCAATTCATGATAATCAGGTACTGTCGGAACGCAATCCTATCACAGTCTGCTGTACCGCATTGCAAATGGCTTTGTTTGGACTCCGTCGTATTGTGTTCTGTAATTGTCGGGACTCTGACGTGGGTATTATAGCCGAGTTTCGTAGTAATAACGGGACTGTTTCGGCAAAGACGGTTCGCATTCGGCAAGATCAGGATGCAATCTGGACTCAATCGGCAAAAAAACAGCAATGAAAAATTTCTCCAGATCATGCCCGTTCCACATGACACCGTCCAGAAAACACAGAACATTGTTACGATTTTGATCCGATACAGAAGAATCTGTCACGACATAGTCACAACTGTAATCCGTCTAGACAAAATCGACTGAGTTTCTCCGAATGTTACGGGACGCACCTAACTGTCGGGGTGCTTGGCCGACCGTTCCGGACCTTTCCCAATCCGTAGGAATCTGTTACGAATGTATACGACTGCGTTCCGACAATGATAGGACATTCCAGATCATTCAGGATAGTAGTTCGACTTTTTCACTTTTCGTGTCTTAGCGATGTCTGATCTGAAACGGGAGCCGTAATCGGCACTGTGTGAACGCCGCATTACAAAATAGGGCCCAGACCTTTGTTATTGATTAACATAAAAAATGAGAAAGGAATATTAAAAAAAGAAAAAAAAGACAATCTCTTTCTTGACGGACTCTTATTTCACTAAAACAATTCCGAGATATCGGTCCCCTTTTTAACATATGATTAAATCATCTAATCCATATTGTACATAAATGTTCAAAATTGTTCTCGATATATTATTTTTAACAGTTTTTGCAAAAGGCCTTATTTCCAAACAGTGTCAAATTGAGATCCAATCATGTGGAGAATAATATTTTCTTAGAAGACAATAAAATTTGGTCAGTATAATATGTAGACATTTTGAATTGTCAATAGTAAAATATTCCTGCCTTCACCAGGCTTGAAAGTAAAAAGCGTTGGATTTTCTATTTTCAGACTCAAATTTTCCTATTCTATCAATGTCAGTGTCATTCAGACTCTCTTTGGACTTTACATATAACATGATATAACTCCATTAAGTTTATACTGCGGGAAATTTTTATCAGTTCAAACATTTATTTTTAGAAAGAAGATTGATCAATCGGAAACTAAAATAAATACTCACAGCGAATTTAGCATTGGCATTTCGCTGATAGGAGACGAAATAACTTACGGCTGGACTACTTGGAAGGCATGTTATGAATGATTCCAACAACAGAAACAAGTATTTCAAACATCATGACTGTTAATGACGTCCTTACACTAAATCCATTGGATTTTGGATTGGATGTGTACTGATTGATATTTAAGTCTTAGATGCATGCTTTATTTATGAGTTGTTGTTGACCTTTGAACTAGCTGACTGCGAGTACTCTAAGATCTGTACCTATTGTCTCTTTTGTTATTGGGATGTATAAATATCCTGCCATGTCCTGTCTGTGTTTTTGTTAGATGTTTTCCTCTTTGTATATCGATTTGATTAGTTAAGCCCTGTTTAACTGATTTTTGTAAATTGTTCTAATGTTTTACTGGTACACCACTGTCCCAGGTTATGGTGAGGGTTTGGTGCCAAAAAAACTAGTTTAACCTTTTAACATTTTGTATGTGCCTGTAATTCGGAGGTAGTCGTTTGTTGCTGTATACCATATTTGTTTTTCGTTCATTGTTTTGTACACGAGGCAGGCCGTTAGTTTTCTCGTTTGAATTGTTTTACATCTGTCATTACGTGGGCTTTTATAGCGGACTATGCGGTTTGGGTTTTGGTCATTGTTGAAGACGTACGGTGACCTATAGTTGTACACTTCTTTATTATACTTCATGCAAATTTCTTATATTGTCCATTTATTTTATTGGACACGAGGCATATGTGTATTTCCACTAACCTTTCATAAGCCCCGCACACCCATAGCAACATGTGATCGGGTGATAATACCTAACATTAACACCCGCTGAGCTAAAAGTTTGCCGATCCGGAACAATTAACACCCGCCCCGGCCGAGGTTTGCCTATTCTTATTTTTACATCATTTCCGTCGTTTTGTTGTTGTTATTAGTAAACTATCTTAATTTATGACTTTATTTTTGTACAGTTGTCCTTCTAATAACATAGTGCACACTTGAATCATAAGGCATTCAGTATAATAAAAAACATACTGTCCTTGAAAGAAGGTGTTAAGGTAATGTACAGCTTCATCTAAGGGCAGTATGTTGAGAATGTCATTTGGTCTCTGGTCGAGAGTTGTCTCTTTGGCAATCATACCTAGTCCTTTTATTTTTATTTATGTCATATTTTTCCAGAGACAAGTAAATGTGGTCCTAAGCGCTTTTCTGGATTTACCTTCACCAAGAACGCTCAATGCCGAACAATTGAAAGCCAAGGATGTATAAGAACTAAAACAGTTGATGAGCTATATGACCAAAAGGATCTAAAAAAAAGGTAAATCCATCTAGGGGCAACTTTGCCTGAGGTAGTTGAAACCTTAGTTACCTAATTATTTATAAACGGACAATTTCAAAAAGGATTGTTTTAAATCATGTGTTTACCGAAGTACTAAACTACTGAGCTAATGATACCTTTCGGGGACTGATAGTCCACCAGCAGCGATATCGACCCAGTGCTGTATGAAAATGAAAACAATACCTCATCAATTTTATGCGTCCGAAGCAATTTTCTAGATTTACCTTCATCGGGACTTTCAAATATTTCCGAATATTTGAAAGTCAAGGATGTGTAAAAACACTCAGGGAATGAGGCAAACCATATCACAAGTGGATACAAAAATCAAAGTATCACAAACTTGTGATCTATTTAGCCTTGAACTCCAAAGAAATATTAATTAACACCCGAAAAATTATAATGATAATACGGATAGTTAGATGAAACGAGAGAAATGCATAAAATATAATACTTGCTATTGGACTTGGAATTAATAAATCATCACTGTGATCATTTAATTATTTTTGCCTGCGTTCACTTACATCAATTAGCCCTATTTGACGGTACCAATATTTCAATTGCATGGAAGCACAGAAGATCAGCAGATACAGTTAAAATTTCAAATAGTTTTCTATATAAAAAAGAAGATGTGGTATGATTGCCAATAAGACAACTCAAGAGACCAAATGACACAGAAACTAACAACTATAGTTCTCCGTTCGGCCTTCAACAATGAGTAAAGCCAATACCGCATAATCAGCTATAAAAGTTTTAATATAAATTGTATTCAAAGTAAATGTTTGAAAGGATATCTGTTTTATTATTCTACTTGAACAATGTTTCAAATAGGATCAGTCACAAGTTTTACCGACTTATGAAGTCTTCTCATGTTGAGAATATGATAACAATATCACATTAGATAAATGAGCATGCCTATATAAACTGTATTTTTTGAAATACGTATAAATTAATCAATTTGATAAATTATTATATACAAGGAAGCAATTAAACCAAGAGTTCCAAGTGATGAAGTTGATATCACCACTTCGTAAATTTTACGGACGCCATCACGAGTTGGTTGACCGTGATGGGAATATTCGTTTCACAGATGGTAGCGGATATTTTCCAAATGTCGTAAATATAATGCCGTCCCTTTTTCTCCGAATGTGACGTACCGAGTTAGACTTATAACCGGGTTTGTACTTACATGAGCAGCACGAAGGGTGCCATATGTGGAGCAGTATCTGCTTACATTTCCGGAAGAAATGAGACCACCCCAGTTTTTTGTGAGGTTTTTATTGCTCAGTCTTTAATTTTCTATGTTGTGTTTTGTGCATGTACTTTTGTTTGTCTTTTTGTCTGTTTGTCTTTTTCTTTTTTAGCCATGGCGTTGTCAGTTTATTTTCGACTTAGGAGTTTGAATGTCCCTTTGATATATTTCACCTCTCTTTTATAATAGCTGCAGTTGCAGGTTTTGGAAAGAAACAAAGATGTAAAAAAATAATGACGGAGGAAAAGTGAAACTTTAGAGGTCGGATGCAAGAAGTATTAAAAGTATTTAGTATTAAGCATGTTAAGTGAAAGTAATTATGGAAAAAAATGAGACAATTTTCTCCATAACTCAAGTAATCACATCTTGGGGTACAACATGTAATAAGTGAAATATTATCATCATGAGACAAGTTTTCTAAACAAGATTTCAAATTTGTTATTATGTTGATATATTTTATACATAAAACAAAACTAGTATGATATTCACTTGATACAAATTGATATTAAGAAATGAAGCAATGCATTTTATTTGCATCAAGGTGACATTTAATCTGCTAGGGCCATAAGAAAAATGTTTTGGCACTATTCTATTAGAATGACATTTAGTTTGTAAATAGTTCTTAGATTCAGATAGTGAGTCTATAGAACGGACAGAATGATATAATTTATTGCATTCTCTGATTGCAGAAGAAACACATGATGAACAAGTAAGTGAAAGTCTGCAATAACATTAACGGTATCGTTTTACTGCACCAGATGCGCATTTCGAAAATAAATGTATTACAGTGATGCTAGAGGCCAAACTATTTGATAATCAAAATTTTATTCAATAAATAAATGAAGAGCTTTTAATCCAAATCAGACAAAATGTCGGGCAATGAATAAAAGCTTTGCATGACGGAGCTATATTTCTTAATTCAATATAATTTTGTAACAACAAATTATAATCACACAATTTCTGTATTTTCAGCTTCAAAGAAAGGATTATTGAGTCATCAATGTGGAGGATTTAAAATAGATAGGACTGGGCCTACCGTGACAAAGGTAGGATAATTGTATAAGAGTTGACATCATCCTATCCATATCTTTATACTCACTGTAAACATGCCATTTATTCATATTGACTGTACTTAAAAGATATATCTTAACCAATCATGTTTTAAAAAAAATTATATGAGTCACTAGTACTGTAACATATGTTCGTTAAGGGTGCTGCTTTTTTGGAAGCGGGCGGTCGTGTCTTGTATAAGGGAAAAATAAACAGAATATTAGCAATTGAATTTATTTTGTTTTAAATCTTAGCCTATAGAGAAATAATAAAAAACGTGTCTAATTATATCTTTGTTCATTTAATATTTCATGATCAATATCAATCGTTATTCTTCTATCTATTTTGTTCCTTTCTTCTTTTTGTCTTTCTTTTTCTTCTTTCTGTCTTTCTTTTTCTTCTTTTTCTTCTTTTTGTCTTTCTTTTTCTTCTTTTTCTCCTTTTTGTCTTTCTTTTTCTTCAAAGGTTTAATCTTATTAACATTCTTCATCTTCCCCACATTAACATTAGTAATCACGTCTCCACCATCGCCTCCCGGACCAGGACCACCACCGCCGCCACCACCACCGCCATTGATATTTAAATTAAATCCTTCAAGAGTTGTCCCGTTTGCTAATTTGATTTTTTGCCTGTTGCCTTTATTCTTATGAACATTCTTTATTTTCTTGATATTCAGGTTAGTGATTACGCTTCCGCCGTCTCCCCCGGGACCGATTCCTCCACCCCCACCACCCCCTCCTCCAGAAATATTCAAATTAAAACCATTGTGACCTTCCTTCCCAAAGGTCAATACAGAACAACAATTGTAAAAGATAAGGATTGCTAATAAACAGTTTGTAACCTTCATTGTATATTGTGTAAAACTTGGCCTTTAGGACTGTTTTTCTTTAATTTTGTTGATCGTAGCTTCGTTCAATCTATTAAAAACAAAAAAATAAATAAAAAATATACATGTATTACATAGACTGAGGTGAAACACCTTTGTTAAATTTGTATACCCATTTATAATATCCCATGAAATGAATTTTGAATCATTACATAGAATACGTATAATTTGTCAGTGTCAGTTTTTTGTAAATTGTAAATTTATTGTTTTAACATTGGGAAAAGAAAGGGGATTTCATTAAACTACAGTATGTAATTATACATACTTTCGTAAGTTTCTGCTTGCATAACACCTGTGTCAGTGGTTATTATTGTGTTATATTTAAGGATGTACTTAAGTGAAATTAAAAGAAAAATCTAGAATTTGAAACTGATACATAAGTCAGAAGAGCATTAGTTAAGGAACAAATAAGCCAAAGATATTGATAGGTTATGGAACTCCTTTTTGAGATATTTGATTTTAAAAATATGGCGAGAAAAGACTTACTCGGACTTTTACCTTATATTTAGCATTGTCATTATTACGGTCTCAAATCGAAAGAAAAAAATCTGGAATCTGCTTAAATTTTGGTAAATGACCTTTTATGAGCTATTGAAGTCTTATATGAAAAGAAAAGTGGGTGTTATACATGTATATGGGGCAAAATATTTTACCCTATATCGTAGGGAAAAATCCAAGGATTCCGAACATTTGACTAAAATTCCTAAACCTGACCTAAGTACTTCCTTAAATAGGTTTTTGTTATTTTGGTAATATTGTCTTGATGACAGGATTTTGTAGTCTCTGATAATTATTTTGTTTAACTCTGGGTTGTTCAGAGCTTGCATCGTTTAACACCGTATGTTGACTTCTGGGTGTCGTTTTTTTTGTGTCATTGAGCTGCTGTTTCCAAAACATAAAACAAAAAATTCCATTATCCATAGCTACATCCTTAAATATAACACAATAATAACCACTGACACAGGTTTTATGCAAGCAGAAATACACGAAAGTATGTATAAGCAGGATAAAAAGTAAAACAAAAGACTATATATTTAGGTGAAAAACACGTTTAAATTTTTGAACCTAAAAACAAAACCGCAAACAAATTAAATCTTAAACAAACCACGAAACGTCTTCGAAATGTATTCACTTTTTCCGGGTTGTTTCAGGTATAAGGTCAATATCGGAATGTTTATGAAACACTGTAGAATTCAAACAGACTGAAAAATATGAAAAATGATTTTCCAAGATTTTTACAAACAGCATTATCTTTTTAAACCCTTCACTTTGCTATTGACGGCAATTTGGATAAACACTTGTTTTGCATTGAATAACTAGAAAAAATAAATTATTCACATAAATCTATATACATAAGAAAACTTTCCAAGATCTTTTTATAAGGAGAAAATGCCATTCTTCTCATTCTATAGATATAAGTCTATAGATATAGTCCTAAGTCAGGAACCTGATGTTCAGTGGTTGTCGTATGTTGATGTGGTTCATAAGTGTTTCTCGTTTCTCGTTTTTTTATATAGATTAGACCGTTGGTTTTCCTGTTTGAATGGTTTTACACTAGTAAATTTTGGGGCCCTTTATAGCTTGCTGTTCGGTGTAAGCCAAGGCTCCGTGTTGAAGGCCGTACTTTGACCTATAATGATTGTGACTTGGATGGAGAGTTGTCTCATTGACACTCATACCACATTTTCTTATATCTATATAGTTCAAACTTGCTCAATTTTCAGAAAATTATATAACAAAATGTTTTATAAAAAAAAGCAATAGTGAACCTCATAACGCTGAATAATTTAATGGTCAATATGCCGTAAAGTTCTGTTACAAAATCATTTTAACTTTTCAATAAATATGTAGGAAACTTTTCCTAGTTATATTACACGTAGAAGGACAATGACAGATGACAAACACAAAGTGATCAGCAGCTGATGTCACACCCATAAATAGAGGGTTATCCTCAAAACTTCAAAATTACTAGAAACAAACCGCGCGAGAGCGGCTTGAAGACTACTTGAAATGTTTATGGTGATACACAGCTTGGGTTTGTGTTTCTAAAACTGTTTTTATTCACTGATGCATTATGTTGATAGTTTTGATTAGTTTGTCAGTTCTTCTTCCATAGGAGTTTGAATGTCCAATTAGTAGCTTCTGTCTCGGTGTTACACGGGTGCTCCTAGAACGGAGGAAATAACTCAGAGAAGAAGAAGACAACCTAGAACACTGATGATTAAAACATTTCTCAGTGTTGCTAGTTTGTAGTATTTCTTTTATTTTTTCGAAAGGTACGAGTCAAGTTCTGTCTCTGTGTGATACGGGTGCTCCAAGAACGGAGGAAATGACTAAGAGAAAACAACCTAGAACTCTCTGATGATTTAAAACATTTCTTCAGTGGTGCGAGTTTGTAGCATTTTTTTTTTTCGAGTAGTGCGAATTCTGTCTTTGTGTAACACGTGTGCTTCGATAAAGGAGGAATTTACTAAGAGAGGAAGAAAAATATCTAATGATTAAACACATTTCTTCGAATTTGTTATATTTCTTTTTTTTTTTTGAGTGGTGCGAGTTTGATAAAGTGATGCAATTTGTAATAATTAGTGAGAGTGTTTGAGTGGTGTGAGTTGGTTGTAGGCCGAGTTGTCATAAATTCAAGACAAATTGAATACAAAAACCATTTATTGCCTGCTTACAAAACGTAGACGGTAAGGAACCAGCTACGGAACTTTATTTGGGGTTTAATTAATTAAGCTACGCTAATTAAAGCAATTGCTATATGAAGTTATGAAGTACATTACATACACTAACTATTCATTATTATATAATACGTCAGACAATCGTGGGCTCGGAGACAAACCGGCAAAAATAGTTTGGTCTACAAATTTAATAGTATAGATATTTGAATGCATGCAAATGATAATTAAGTTCGTGAATATTACAGTGAATATCTAAAGTTCGTGAATATAACAGTGAATATAATGCAGTGGTTGTACGAAAGAATTTATTTTTCTTTGACGACTGACAAGTCGACAGTCGCAAGGCGAGACATAGGCATCGGGTTTCGACGAATGGGCAAACAATTAAATTTTGTGTTTTAGCTTATTTGACCTGGAGTGTTATCGATTTATGATAAAATGGAACTTTGTTTCAATTTATGTTCATATAGAGTTAGTATGAATTAGTGTTTTTGCACGCACCATACTGTTGAAAACATAATATTTACTTTATATTTATCAAAATAAATATATGTCGATGTTTTTATTCAAATCAAAAGGTAAGGCATTTCTACAACAATGTACATTTTTTTGGTATAATTAAATTCACAAAATGCACTGTCGTCATTAGTTTTAGTTAGCAAAAATAGACTCATAAAGCATTTTTTCTTCTTTAGGTAACAGTGCAACTTTACAACGCAAACTGTCAGACGAACAGACGTTCATGAGGTATACACACATGTCCATCCTTCTTGGGCAGGATATTATAACTCAAAAAATCATAATAAAACGATTTAAAGTTTTGTAAAAGCAAGAAAAAAAAACAACACAAAACACAATTGAGAATTTTTCCTTAAACACCGTTTTGAACAAATAACCCTAAATAATTTTAACATACCTTGGTCACCATAGTTTCTTAACTTTTGGAAATACACCTTGCAGTGTGGGATTACTTTGGGTTACCATCTTATATCCTGGATTGCATAATGAAAAATTACATGCATTTTTTCCCTATAAAACAAAAAGACATACCAGGTATCTTGATCTTGACATTATGACATCAACATACAATTATGTAATACATCCTATTTTAGTGCGGTTTTATTTCATGATTGTAAGTGAAGATATTATAAACATGTGTTTCACTTTGAATTTTGGAAAGTCCAGATATAATGTGTTGTTGAAAGCCCTAGGCTCTTTCAGACCACAGTGGGTAACCTATATTTATCGTATCACTCCTGGTACTTGTTTCAAAGTTAATTTGTGAATATATATGACAACTTTGTGAAGTCTAAAGGAGGAGTAACATGTATGTAAATGAGACTGCATCCCAACAATATACACACAGATATCTTAGGATGGCTTTAACAATAGGCAAGTATCTTCACCTCGTATTTGAAATACCTAGATTTCTAGGCAAGTTGTAGATGACGTTTTACACAGACTTCCAAAGTATTACCACCAACACTAATTACTTTATATTACAAAACTAACATCTATGATATAAAGACAACTACGAGATTTCTGATCTGCACTCACCTCTCTCTTTTAATCTTGATCGGTGGAAGGTGGTACACATGTACATGTATAACAACTGATGTATTACGTACAAAAACCGTCAGTTCAGAAAGCGCATGCGCTCATCGGCCTATTCAACCGGTAATATCCCGATAATGGACAACAAAACGCTGGCACAAGTAAACCATACCTATTTCGAGTATGTTTTGAGTAAAGCAGTATCTTGAAAATTCCATTCTTTAAAAAACTACTTCATGTTTCATGGTCTTAAGTTTTTTATGGATTTTAAAGAAAGAATTGTGAAACCTGCACCCAACATAATAATGCTGCAATTAAAATTCAATTCCAGTTTGAGTGCATTATAATTGTTCTAATTGTTTATCTAGTTGACAGTAATACGATTATAATATCAAGCACTGAATGCCATTATTGAAGAAAGGTGTCACCAGTAATGTACCACTATATATACCACAAACGCCTTTAAGAACCTATGTAAATTCCTTCGCGAATATCAATGAGCACCTTTCAAGTCAACAGTAAGAGCTTACATGATATTGGTTTCAGATGCCAATCCATTAGAACTGCCAAAGAAACTGTCAATATTGGGAGCAGCAATAAGAGCTCTGGTCCTTTGATAATCGTGTATTCCACTGACTACCGTAGAAATGTTGTCTGACGTTTATTACTCAACATTTACCTCTTCGAATATGAGTAAACAATATAAGCTAAATCAATGCCCATGTACATGTTTCTTAACTCATTCAAGTAGACCTATATGTTAAAATATGCACTGTAGCAAACAATCGACATTCATATGTCCACCAAATGTGCTTTCTGCTTACAGACTTGTTCGTTTACTTTTTTGAGGCAGACTTTTTAGGAACTTCCCAGGAAGTATGAAAGGAAGCTGAAATTATCCTTTATCTTTACGTTCCGATATAAATATGGTGTCTTTTAACTTAATAATTAAAAGTTATATGACTATGTTGACTACATCGATCCGAATGAAATTTCGATAAAGAAGATAAACTTTAAGCTGACCTAAATCTAGAAATTGACAACGAGTGTCGGTTGAGAACTAAATTTTACGAGAGAAGAGATGATTTTAATGTTCCAATTATGAACTTTCCATTTCTGTGTAAAAGCAGCATCTCCCAGTTGATACATTATTCATGGGCTTGCGTTTTCTATCATACTACTTTGAAAAGGGGTTACTACCTACAAGGAAACTATTGCACGAAGGGTTACAAAGGGCAAATATGAAGTTATTCCTTAGTGAGTTTAGTATATGCAATCATGCTTTGGTTGACCCTTATATCTTGTGTACAAGTTAGTTGTTCTATTTTGTTTTTAATGTCTATGTTGTTACTACTGGTAACAGTCTTGTTTACCTTTTTTTAGTCCTCCACAACCATATTTCATTTCAAACTTTCACATTCGGTCATTGTTTATGTTTAATTAATTGACAAATACAGATGGATATTGAATTCAATGATATCTTTAATTTAGCTTTCACAAAAGCCATTTATCAATCCGCTAGTGTGGCATGCCGAATCGCGTAAAATGGATTATCTATCGATTCAACAAGAGTTACACAGTCTATGTAACTATGGGACATGAACTACTGACCCTTCCGGAGCACATGAGCTCATCAAAAGTTTTCGGTGTGGTCATTGCGGCTCAATTTAAAGTTTCTTTGTAATAGTTGAGTCTTTTCACCTATAGATTTGTCTTTTCGACCATTGTGTTGTCTTCTTGGTAATTATGTTGTCTTTTCGGCTATTGTGTTGTTTTTTTGCCTATAAAGTTGTCTTTCAGCTATTATGTTGTATTTTATGCCCCCGCAACCGAAAGTTGGAGGGCATATTGTTTTACCCCTGTCCGTCCGTCCGTCTGTCCGTCCTTCCGTCAGTCCTTCCATCTCTCCTTCCGTCAGTCCGTCCGGTCATCTGTCCCATTATGGGTATATACATGTAGTTATTCCAGATAACTCCTCCTAAAGTTTAAATGCTTGGAGTGTTTTCCCTTTGCTGGCTGTTTGTACATATATTGAAGGTGTGATTGTGTCAGGATTTTGATTTTTATTGGTATTTGCTCTTTTGTGTGATAGTTGAACTTTGTCATTTTTGGAGTATGTACTTGCATAAGAGGTGCATAGCGTTTCCGGATAACTAATCCTACGGTTTAAATGCTATGAAGTTTTCACTTTGCTGAATTCTTGTACATATATTGAAGATGTGCATGTGCTCAGGGATTTGATTTTTATTAATATTTGCTCTTTTAAGAGATAGTTGAACTTTGTCATTTTTGGAGTATTTACTTGCATAAGAGGTGCATAGCGTTTCCGGATAACTCATCCTACAGTGAACCATAGACCTATTTGCTCCGATGCTGAACTTTTTTTATTTTGAAATAACAATTTGCATCTGCGGGGGCATCATTTGTATCTCCAAGACACAATGATATCTCAAAGAAAGTCCTACATTGACATTGTTATAATACAGTTACTTTAGAGTGGAGTGCGGGGGCATCACTTTGTCTAGTTTTGCTAATGCAATGTCTTTTCGGCTAATGCGTTGTCTTTTTGGCTTTTGTGTTGTCTTTTCGGCTATTGTATTGTCTTTCTGTGATTATGTTGTCTTTTTTGCTAATGTGTTGTTTTATTTTTACTTTCGTTTTGTTATTTCGGCTAATGTATTGGCTTTTCGGCCAATGTGTTGTCTTTTTGGCTATTGTGTTGTCTTTTTAGCTATTGCGTTGTCTGTCGATCTTTATTGTACTTGATTCCTCTGTCAGTATTTTTTTATTTCGTTATAGCAGCAAATTACATCATTTCAAACATTATTCATAACTCAAAATTATTAAGCATTAAAAATGATATACACCTAAATGAAATCTATGTGTAACATATCTTGAAATCTTGAAATTAGAAAATGGATACTTTTGAATACACCATGGTAAACAAATGTTGAACGTCGTTTAATTACCGGATTGGAAAATGCCATCATTATGATCAGGCAAATATTACCAATTACCTTTTAATGGAAGGACCAAAAATTCTCTCAGTGTCTTCAAGGTGCAAAATTTTAAGGTACTCAGCTAGTGATAGTTTTGATATTTTAGATGATGTAATCAGTTCATGTAGACAAAGTGATAGTCTGCATCACTCAGTTTGTACGTCTGAGTACCAGTATTTTTAACTGAATGTTATGTTCTATTTATATATATATATATATAGTTGAATGCCACTTCATCATACACAAGAGGGGCCTCGGTGGTCGAGTGGTCTAAGTAGTCGAACTACTGTATCACTAGCCAGTCAACACTGAGGTTGTGAGTTCGAATCCCGGACGGGGCAGGTGCACTCGACTCGATTCTTAATTGACTAGGATTGTCAGTTTTCATACCGAAGGTCGGTGGTTCTCTCCGGGCACTCCGGCTTCCTCCACCAATAAAAACTGACCGCTACGAAATAGCACAATAGTGTTGAAATTGGCGTTAAACAACAATCAATCAATCAATCAATTAATCAATCAATCATACACAAGACATATATTGTGATAATTCAAGGAATATTTTGTTTTATGCAGGTGTTGTAGTCTCAGAGTATACATTTAGTGTGTTTAATAAAGTTCTACGTAACACGCAGTTAGCGGATATAACATATACCTCTTGGTTTTAATTAGACTAGAAAAAACACGCACAAGCGCGGCTTAAAGACTACTTGAAATGTTTATGGTCATACACAGCTTGGTTTTGTGTTTCTAAAACTGTTTTTATGCACTGATGCATTATGTTGATAGTTTTTATTAGTTTGTCAGTTCTTCTTCCATAGGAGTTTGAATGTCCAATTAGTAGCTTCTGTCTCGGTGTTACACAGGTGCTCCTAGAACGGAGGAAATAACTCAGAGAAGAAGACAACCTAGAACAGAGATGATTAAATCTTTTCTCAGTGTTGCTAGTTTGTAGTATTTCTTTTTTTTTTTCGAAAGGTACGAGTCAGGTTCTGTCTCTGTGTGATACGGGTGCTCCAAGAACTGAGGAAAAAACTAAGAGAAAACAATCTAGAACTCTCTGATGATTTAAAACATTTCTTCAGTGGTGCGAGTTTGTAGATTTTTTTTCGAGTGGTGCGAGTTCTGTCTCTGTGTGACACGGGTGCTCCGAGAAAGGAGGATTTAATAAGAGAAGAAGAAAACTATCTAATGATTAAACACATTTCTTCGAGTTTGTTATATTTCTTTTTTTATGAGTGGTGCGAGTTTGATAAAGTGATGCAAGTTGTAATAATTAGTGAGAGTGTGTGAGTGGTGCGAGTTGGCCGTGGGCCGAGATGTCGGGCAGTACGTAGACTGAGCATGCGCGAAAGCGTATGAGACACGGATCGATAACGGTCTCCGAATGTGGATATTTTCTCAAAAATTGGCGTTTTCTGAGGAAAAAAGATTGTTTCAAAGACAAATATAGGAAGTACAAAACACTATATTTATACGTCATATCACAAATATATCCGACATTGTATGGTTTCATAGGAGTTGCGGCTGAATGTAATCGGTCTCTTCTTTTAGTAGCATAGTTGTAAAAAGAGGCAAAGATATCAAACGAGAGTGAGAAAACAAAACAAAATAAGAAAACGAAACAAATCAAAACCAAGTGACAAGTGTACGGATCAACCGTCGAAGGAGATTTATAAGAACAGCAAACACAAAATCAGAACCGAATGAGGAACCCTTCGTATTATAAAGTTGTCAAACATGTAGCGAATCAATTATGATGAGGGCTACAATTTCCACTTTAATTACTATATAATTGAAAAAAGCAGTTTTTGAAGTTTAGATTTGACAATCGATAATTTAAGTATTGAGATTGGATAGATCCGATAATCCACGAGTACCTGTGTACGAATCTGTTTCTCTTATGATTATAAAAAAAATCATTTTTAATAAAAGAAATTTTTTTTCCAGTGCCTTCCAGGTTCCTGATTTCTACGTCATACACTTAAAGTTGTCACTTTCTCTAATACCTGTTACCACATTCCGATTGATCCAGAGAG